GTTATCGCGTCGGACACTTCGCCGGGAAGAAGAGCTAGCAGGTTCCGCGCCCAAAGAGGCCGCTCCAAAGCGTTTCGCTCACAGACGTGTTCAAACTTGACGAGATACTTCGCCATGTCCTCGCCTACTACGAACGGTGGCAGTTGGTCCCGAATTCTAAAACCGCTGACCTGAACTGTTGGAGAAGCTACGCTAGGCGCCTGCGAACACTGTAGGATTGCCAATTCTAGTCGTTTCAACTCGAGACGCTCCTGTCTCTCGGCCTCCTCGCGACGTTCGCGCCTTTCAGCTTCTTCACGTTCGCGAGCTTCGCGCCTGTCAGCTTCTTCGCGAGCTTCGCGCCTTTCAGCTTCTTCGCGAGCTTCTACTTCTCGCCTTTCAGCCTCCTCACGGCGTGCTTTAATATCCACCCAGGCCTCATCGACTTCCTCAGCCGACACTCCCTCATCCTTCATGATCTCAAGGATCGCTTGCTTTCGTTTCGCACGGCCCAAAGTAATGCCGAGTTCCTCACAAATTTCGATGAGTTCCTTCACTTTAAGGTTCTCCATCGTTCACACTAGCCTCTTGCTGTTTGCCCCTGTTAACAATTTACTTGCCGTACCCACTATAACTCAACTAGCAAGACGCGCAAGCAATTTTTCACTCTCCCGTGTTTACCCCCTCCGCATTAACTTTGGTTTCAAAGCACTTCGACTTTGCTTGAAACGATCAAAGCTCACTCTAATGCTTCACACAGCCCTTCTCTAAACTACTACAACCTGAGCTAGAGTAGTCTGGTGAACTGAGGGGAAAACATCAGGCACTCACCGCATCGATGTCGCTGACGCCGGCCGATCCCGCAGCTGCCAACCACTGTTGCGAAAGACGGGGACGCCAACACGGTCCCGAAGGCGCCACTGCTTTCATCTCCGCCGGGAAGGTCACCAGCCGTTTGGTAGCGTATGTTTCTCAGCTCGCGACTGCTTCTGCGCAGAGCTGATAAGACGAGCGGACGAGACGACGGTGAGTTAAACAAGGTTTATGTACAGCATATATACAGAGGCGTTACAATTTCGGCACTGGGGCCGACAGAGACTCGAAGAGCCGAGCTCTCCTCTCTAACACATAGGTCAACTTTTCGCCTTAAGACCGCCGACTCACACACATGTCGGCTCTCCGACATGGGGACTCCTCTCTCATAGGACCGCTGATCGCGACGCGTCGCAGGGCTTCTTTTATTTGCACCGGGTCCAACCAAAATGTCCAATCAGAAGCGCCGCTGGTCGTCAGGGCAGATTCCTCCAATGGGGTCGCCGCCGGGCCACGTCAGACCCCCAGACACGAAGACGCCGGCTCGCTGTCACGTGCGCTGCTGACTCACTGCACGTGGGCAAGAGAGGCGCCGCGCGTGTTTACGACGTTGAGTTGTTCGCGTCAGGCGGACTGCGGGCTGGCCTTGACCCAGATTGCCTTTTTCAGAGGCACGGACGTTTGACGAGGACTCGCTGGCATAACAGTAGACAGTTTGCGGCGGCATTCACGTCGGCAAACTCGTCGGACGCATCGGCGCCACTGCCACCATGCTTTGCGTCAGGAGACGGTTTTTTCGTGGTTTGAGTGTTTGACTTGCACCGGCATCCCCAAAATTTGTACGCCGACCGAAACTTCACAGGCCGGTGACTGCACTTGCTATGGCTTTCTTCATCCATAGAGAATAAGCATTCGACAAAAGCGTTGCTCAGCTGCGCTGCTCGATGAGACTTGGATCCCACAAGTAAACTTCACAGCACTCGCAGGCGCACAGCGGCCTCCAATCCGTACCAAGTGATTTAAAAGCCAGTCGCGCCGCTCGAAAAACGCGGCAAAGGCATGCTTCTCTTTATTATTTCTTGCGCTGCAGAAGCGCGGGAAGCCGTCGTTATTTGAAGAGTAACGCCCGGCTCTTTGGCTCATGCGGTCGACAATGATGAACGGCAGCACATTTTCAGTGGCAACGTGCTCGAAGATGACACATTTCCGGCCTTTTGACAGCCACCTTGTGCTCTTTAGACGCAATTTCAAAATATTTCCAATCGAGTCTCGACATTCATTTTTTTTTTCAGAACAGTAGAGATACTAATCTTAACAAAACAGGTCAAAACAAAAAAATTGATAATTTTAAACAAAACTCGTGTTTTTCGACCCGCATCTCCCCTTAGGCGAGTCGTCGGACTCCTCAATGCTCTCAGTTGTGCCTGAGCAGCGCATAAGCAAGTCAGTAAGCTCATCCTCACATACCGAACTTGCTGCTCCGCAAGGGAGCACTTCAGAGCGCAATGAGCTTCGGCGTTCCAAATGTTCGCGTAAGAAACCGTCCAGGTTTAAGGACTTCGTGTCCTAAATTCTTCTCTCTTACTCGTGTATTGGAATGAGTACCACACGTGTGCATTGTTGTGCAGTGTTTTTTTTTTGTTGTATGTTGTTTGTGTTTGCATAAGTGCTTTCAGCCATGGTACGCTGTGTACATAGCTACGTTTTTTTTAAACGATAGTCTTTATTGGAGACCTTTGACGAAAAAATTTTGGTCTGTCTGTACATGTGTCTGTTTTTTTTCCTTCTCATGCCGCTTCTCTCTTTATCAATTGGTTACTTTACGACAAAAGGAGGAGGGGGATGTTAAGGTTGTAAACAATAGTTTAAGGTTGTACAAGTTCTTGTGTCATACCGCTTGTCTAAAATTCTATGAGGTTGTAAAGGTTATTTATGTGCGATTAATGATTGTATAAAGATTGTAGAGCCACGTTCTTTTCATTCTAGGGGGGGGGGGGGGGTGCATGATGTGGTATGTTTCATGTAAAGTATTTTCGCCCTTAGGGGGTGCTACCCTGTGTATATATGAGCGGCATTGTACATAATATAAGAGTTCCTGCTTGCTACCAGCTGCTGCGTCTTCTTGTCGGCCGGCGCTTCAGAGCCGGGCCCTGTGTTCCCCGTGCGGCGCGTACGCCGCAATCTTAACCTCGTCGCCAAAATGTAGTATCGTGCGGCGACGCGATGCAGAGACGATGTGGTCAAAGGCGGGGATATCGCCCGCCTCGCCGAATTTACAAAGCTTGGCTACTCAGCGTACTTCCTGAATAAATTCTACCGTCGACTGGTCTGTGGGTCCTGACGCAGGCCTTGAAGTGGGCGCTCAGACACACCGCGTCCAGTTGAGGGTCAAAGAGTTCATTAAGCAGCGCAAGGGCTGCGTCGAACGCGTCCGGCGTCGTCTCCCGAGTTGGCCGGTCGGCTCCCGGCTGCTGCCCATCCTCGTCGCCAAAATATAGAACCGTGCGGCGGACGCGCCGCACGGAAAACGCGGGGCACGGCGCTGAAGCGCCGACCGACAAGCAGTAAGCAGCAGCCGGTAGCCAAGCAGGAATTCTTTTATTATATACAATGTCGCGCATGTACACACAAAGTAGCGCCCCCTAAGGGCGAAAATACTTTACACTAACCTTTTGCAGTTGTTTTTAACGAGACCATTTTTCTCAAGTGCCAAGTTTTCATGCATTCAACTGAGGCACTGATGGTGTTCTAAAAGCTGTACAGCATGGTAAAAGACCTCTTGTGCAGTTAGCGAATTAAGACACCTTACACGTGTCTTACTGCAACAACAATTATACGAATGCCCTTGACGTATTTATTTCAATGCCATAAGGGCCACCATGCTGTTAAAGTCCAAATTGGCAACATTGCCCTGCGCGTAATACAGTAGACTCTTGATAATTCAAACACTGATAATTCATACTTTCGGTTTATTCAAACACAATTTCATTTATTGGTTGGCCCTCTATTCTTTCAATCTATTTAGAAGCCTCTTAACTCAAACTCCATCATTTGGTTAAATTCATACTCTTTGCAGTTCCATACCAGAAAATATCTGCTGTTTCCCTATTACTATTTAAAATTTTGTGTGCTTATATAATCCTAACAGTCTAAAAATGAAAAATAAGCACCTCAGGCCTTCAAAAAAAAAAAAAAGGATTTGCTAGTAAACAAACGTTTAAAAGAAAGCACGCCCATGGTAAAGCATGATGCTTCTCAACTGGTATAGAGAGCTTTGTGCTGAAGGCACATACCTACAGCAAAGAAGCAGTTCACGATTCTTTCGCGATTCACGGTTTCTTTCAAAGGCGTGACCAGTAATAAATGGTCAATAAACTTGTAGATCTTACACCTCTGCTTTCTGTTCGTTGCGTGCAGTTAGGGTTTAAAAATACTTTAAAAAATTTTAAATGTGATAAAATAGATGCCAAATCATAATGAGCGTTGTCACCTGACCCAGAGTCATCTATCTGAGAACTTTTGATAATTCAAACTCCTTGATAATTCAAACCAAATTCAGAGGTCCCTACGAGTTTGAGTTAATGAGATTTCATTGTATGTTCAATGTGCTAGTGAGAGCGTGCCAGCGATGAACAGTTATTTGGGGGAGAGGAGACATACCGTCGTCTTTCATCATGCAAAAGGCCCTTTGGAAATGTGCCAGAGAAGCGTACAACTGATTGTGCCCACTTATCGTAACAGCGATCAGCGGTTTGCACGTGCCTTTGTAAATGTTGGTCGCAATGCAATGCAATGGCTTGTGACGCAATGAGAAACAGTGTGAGGGTCATTTTGCTTACCAAGTGCAATGTTCCTTTAAGCTGGCATTTTGGTGAGTTAATGCCAGGCTGGGCGCAACAGGAGTTAACTGCTAGCCGTACTTTGTATAAGATTCCAGTTTGCTGCTATCTATTTATTGCTTTGCCCTTGTGGTGAGACTCTGACTTTTTCTACAGGTTTTGAGGAAGACTTATCAAATAATATCTAATGCTGCTGATTGTAGAATACTTGCACCAGTAACTGCGGCTATTCACACTGTCAGTAAGCTAGTACCCGACCTGCAGTTATTACCACAGGCTTTTTTTTTTTTTTATCAAGTTTCGCTGATATCAGATAAAGAAGGCATTTGTGTAATCATGTATCAGTGCCATATGAAAAAATCTCACAACTAAGAGAGTTCACTGATCGTTTATTAAAGACAGGAAATCGTGAAATTTCACTCAACAGTATCAACACGCACCGCCATTCACCTTTTACACAGCTTCACAAAGCATACAGGAAGGAACATGTATACCAAAAAAATATGAGCCCAGTACAAGAGATGGGCAGCAAGCATAACATATGCATCAACAACAGTGTCATGTGTAGGTTACAAAAGAAAAATACCCACTAACGTAGAACTGCTTTTCAAATTTACGAGGTCTTGCATACGTGTCACTTAAATGTACACGCACTGGACTTATAAAAGATGTCCATAGCAGATAAAATGCGAAAATATATTTACTGTCATATTTCTTATTGTCACATATATACATGGGATTTTTTTATCACTCATGTAAGTGTTCAAGCTATATTCATCCATGTTGTATACAACATCGAGTTAGCCCTGGCCAGGACTAAAAAGGGTGAACATCAGAATGTGTTAAAAAGCTAGCTATGCAATTTATTGATAAAGCTAAATATTGTTCCACTTAGATGCAAGTAAACACACAAAAAATACTGCACACTTTCTGGCTGACCACTGGTAACCCACAAAAACCCTTAAGCTCCACACAATTCGGGACAAGTAACATTGGAGAAGAAAGTAATGTTCAAATACTTGAAAGTAAATCTTTATTGCAAATGGGCATTAAACTTGTTTCAAGCAAGGATCAAGATGAAGGCAGCATGTTTCAGTGGAACTACACAAGAAAAATGCAAACGTGACAGCATACTGACAGTTAATGAGCCCTGCATAACTTAAAGTTGCACGTATAAGAATAATAGTTTTTTATTGTTACAATTTCTGTGTCACAAATGTGCGAGTGGATAGCGAGCGCGCCCTCCCCAAACAGGAGGACGCGCTCGAAAGGGGAGGGGGTCTTACAAGAGAAAGTACCATTGCGGAAATTTGCCGACTGCTACTCAGACTGCCTTGATTATATGTATTACACAAAATGTCCATTGATGTCCAGAATTTCATTGTCTGAACAGTTCCACCGAACAGTTCGATTTTATGGGCGCGCACCCAATTTCAAGACATTGCAATCGAATCGCGAACCACCATCCGAGCACGATATGTGTCACCCTCATTTTCATTAGCGATATGCATCCCTTCCCGTCAAGTGCAGCCACTGCAAAAAGTTTCGTTGATTTCCTATTAAACCACCACTTCACGCAACCACTACCGAAATGCAACCAATGCTGATTAAGCCTAACTTGTTGCTCGATATGTTGTCCTGGGAAGGTTGTCCAAGATATGAAGATCCTGCATCGAAAAGCCCCGCACTCAAACACTGAACTAAGAACAGCATGCATGCTACGTGTTCGCGTTCGCGGCCGGGAGAGCAACAACAAGGAAAACACGCCAAGCTTACATAAGACGGGGCGTGGGTAGCAAAGGCGACAGCTTGTGTCATAAAGCTTTGAAAGGTTCTAAATTTACACACGAGGTAGCAAATGCGATATCTATAGCAGGCACAATAACGACGATGCTTTTCCCGACAGGAAACTGTTAGGAAGAGTCGCTCAAAAATGGGATCGCACTTCTCATGTTGAGCCGCACGTGGCTGGAGCTATGCCAGTGGCGCTAATACACTGTATACCCGTACCAGCGTCAATGTAAAGGCTTATCCGTCGCCGAAGAAACCGCCCTCTTCCTTCACTCCGCGAGTCAGTACAGCCTGTTGCGGTCTTTTTTCCTTTTCTTTTTCTTCCCTTCGTTCACTCCATGTCCCCTTTTTCTTCGTAACGGCTTCATTGCTCGCTTCCCAGCGGTGCAGCCAGCACGCTTCCTTTCATATGCGCACTCGCTACCTAGATTGTCACAAAGCTTTCCCGGCAACCACATTAAAACCGGTCTCACATCTTGGGGGACTGCACAATAAGCGGTATGCGTATATATGGGTTCCTAAGGGAGGGTGAACGAGAGTCAAAAAAGACTAAATTGTAAACGGTCTTGCAGAATATGCGGTTACGTTATATGTGGTCTACACTGTATAACCCTAAGTGATTAGCTTTTGTTTTACAATATAGTACCAGAAAAAAAAGAGAGAAAGGGAGAGAGAATTGCCCATACTATAACAATCTATGCAAGTTCCTGGGGTTACAGAATATCACAGAACTTTCACACAAATAGTGAGAATGAAAATGAGACAACTATGATGGAAGATGCGAAAGTAGTAACGTGTGCACTGCAGTGAGCATATTTGAACTGAATTACCCTCGGTCCATCCAGGATAGAACGCATACACCAAAAGCCCCACATGTGAGCGCAAATGGTTTCCAAATGCAACTGTGTTAACGGGGTTAATTCCCCTGGCGTCCTACCAAGAAGCTTCACACGTACTGCAGGAGGAACCACATAAAAAGCCCAACTGGGCAACCACTTTTACGAATCCCGAAGCACACTTATCTGGTGTGGCTATAAATAACAAACAGAACAGCACACATAATAAAAGACATTCAGAAAAACAGAAGAAAAGCCAGTTCTGTGAATCAAAAGACAGCACAGAGCACAGTCAATGAGAACAGCGCTGGTCTTACAAGGCCTAGAATAGAAAATGTACATTGCTAAACTGATAAAATTCTGTTTTGGCATACAATTAATTACAAAATGTAAACTTGCCAAGCGAAAATTGCATATTTTGGACTCCTGAGAAAGGATTCATGCTGTTCTCTTCAACACATTGACTCAGATAGAAGATGACAGAAAATGGAACCTGTGACCTCTTTATAAGAGACACGTACCGGGTAGTAGTTCTTGTCTCTTGTATATAAGGTGTCTTCTATAAGCAAGGTTCTTTCAGTTCAACCCCTATTTTAGCATTAACTCACCGGTGTCACTTATGCCCCAAGTGTCTCTTACAAAGGGGTTTAACTGTATTTATTGCTTCAGAAACAATGGTACAGTGCAACACTTGATATTGCACAGATGTATGGTGGCCAGTACTTAGGTGTTTACTCACAAAAAATGCAAACACTCAATCATGGTACACTGGCACATTATAGCAAAAATTTGCAAAAGCCCTGATTTTTAGAAATTTAGTTCCATTTAAGGGTATCCAAGGCTCGAACAAAAACATTCTGAACGGCTTACACCAGACTGAAAACAACATAGTAGTGTTTTAAAATATGAGCTGACCCAATGAAAAAAATCATATACACATAGATTTCTAATTGAATATAAAGCATTTTGCACATGTTTCAAGCCCACATGAAGTTGACATTTTTTAAAAATTGATAGTGTAGAAAACTTGTGTGACAATCTGTCAGTGTAGCGTGATTAAGTGTTAGCCTTTATTTTGCACTCGTTGAACAGTGTGCTACAATACAGCTGACAACATTAATCATTACTCTAAGTAGTTGGTCAGACTTTACAATGCTGGCATTTAAAGCTGTACTGGGGTGTGCTTTGAAGATGACGTTGACAACGTGAGACGTGCAGATACATATGGTACTACACTGAACCCTCGATATAAAGAACCAGATACAACAAAATATCGGTGATAACGAAGCAAATGAAGAATAATCTTGCAATAGCCATAGTGTCAGGGAATATACATTTATAATGACTTTTTGGATACTGTAACAAACTTACTTTGTGCAACATGCAATTTTGTTATAATGAGGTTGGTGTGACATTACCAGTACAGCATGAATTACAAGCTCATCCTCGAGGCTGTTTTCTATTTGAGCAGCACTCATCTTTTCAGCCACATGTGTCTGGCTCACCACATGCACCTGGCATTTTGTGCAGTATGTCAACTGACGGTTGCCACTCGTGCGTCCCTGTTTTGTTCGTTAGTGGACAAGCGGTGAGCGGTACGGTTTGACCAATATCTGCAGCACATGCATGAACTAGGGAATTTTGCATGCACACACAGATGAAATGCCCTTGCCATATACATCTTCGTTATTCAAAAAAAAAAAGGAAGAAAGTTGCGGCTCGACTCAAAATTTTTGTGCCTCGCCAGTTCGTCTAGTGTACAAGCCACGGAAGTAGTGAGGTCACTATTGCCACGTCACAATCAATAAGTGCCGACTGATAAAGAAACCAGAAAGCATTAAACAAAAGATGTGCACCCCATATTTTCCATGTGGACCGCTGTGGTAGCTCAGAATATAATACATCTCGCGCTAAGCTCGAAGATGCAAATTAACATCACAGCCACAGCCGCTGTATCTCAATGGAGGTGAAATGCAAACACACCCGTGTTCTTAGAGTAAGTTCAACGTTGAAGAGCCCCAGGTGATCCAACTTAACCTACAGATACGCCTCACTATGATGTGCTTTATGGTTTTGGCACGTAAAACCTTAGGTATTATTATTTTATTAGGTCCGTTCAATTCGCCTGCACCATGTGAACCAGTTCACGGGGTGCTGCACTTTGCCATTCGTTTCAGTGGTGCAGCATTGACGACCTCTGAATACTGTCATTCGTTTCAAAAGGTGCACAAGCGGTGCAGCACTGGTTCACGATTTTCGTGCACCTCTTACGCTGATGGTGCCGGCTTGGTGCAGCCGTGCATACAACTGAGCAGACGACGCAGCACTTGGGCCTATGCGCCGTATCTGCCTCTACCAACGCTGTGTGTTTCGCCATGATGTTTGCGCCTCGTAAATTGTCCGCATGTGCGGTTTGCCATCGTTCAGTGTTAGCTGAACGGTGTAAATTAGGCCAACAGAAATAAGATCTGCACCTTGTTGGCACATCGTCATTTGTTTCAGGGGTCGCGCTGTACTTGCACCGCTGAACGCACGCTGCACAATTTCTGAACTTCACGTGCACAGCCGTGAACCAGTTCCGATTGGTGCAGGTGAATCGAACGAACCTATTATTACATTTTCCATGAGCAAGAACTCTATAAACTACAAAGGACAATGCTATAAATTTTATGCGATGCTCTCGTAATGGTTGATATGATAAGAGCTCGAAGGCCACCATGATTCTTTTCTGTCGGCCATGTTTTCTTTTGGCATAATACCGCCACACAGAAAAACAGCATCATGATTTGGAGACTAAACATCACATCAAATATGAGAAGTTGAAATTCCCAAAACAACACGAGTTGACATATATGAGACATACAATGTTTCACACCTTAGTTTATGAGAACGAGATATGAGGAGTTTTACACCTTACTTCTAGCTGAAATGCAGTGGTGAATTAAACCAGTTATCTCATGGTATTTAACAAAATGCCATGACTACAAAGCTTCAAGTTTAGGGCAGCTGCCATACATTGAAGGTATGAGCACGAAAAATTTTGCTAACATTTATAGTGTTAAAAATAATACTACGAATGTGTAGTAGATGGCAGTATAATATTGTTTCCGATCCACTTTGTAAGAATATCAATGAAAAAGTGACATTGGCTAGGTCACGAGACGTTAACGAGAGGTCTTGAAATGGAAGGTAGCTATCGTTCAATACAGTTATGAATCAAATGCCAGAAGAAAAAAAATTGGGAGACCCTTAAGCACCGCCTTCAAGAGTTTAACGAGATGGCGACATCCTGTCTCTAGTGCATACTTAAACCACTTCGAGCATACTTTTTAATGTACGATATTACCCGGGAAGTTTAAATTGGGGATTACTGTATTTACTCGCGTAATAAACCCACTTTCATAATAAATGCACCCTCAACTTCAGTCATCAAAATTTTGATTTTTTTTTTCTAACGCCACCCCGTACATTCATCCGACACCCCGTACATTCATCAACTGCAGTTTGGCTAACCGACACCTGGTGCCTGTTTGTTGGATCCCTTCTGTTTTTTATTATAATGCGAACCCCCCCTCGGCCACCTCAGTTTGCTCTCTTCCCCCCTGCACTCGCTGCCGCGTGCCACTTTTTTTTATTCTATCTGCTAGTACAAGTGGCCTGTACTACAAGCCCCTCTTAGAACGTCTACTGAAACGAATGAACGCGTACTGGTGTCATCTTGATATGCTCACGCTGTGTACCTAATTATCCCTCCCTTCTATACTCCCAAACTGTGGTCCGGAGCCGTCTTTTCCTTCGAAATAAATGTTCCATTCATTCATCTGTGCGCGGTACGCCCCCTGTCTTTTTTTGATTATTTATGCACAATAGCGCGATTTATGAATGGTGAAGGTGTAGAGACATCGCAGCTGACAAGCACACAGCGAGCAAAGGTCAGGATATTGCCCGTGCAAACTTTAAGGCCCAGCCACATGCCTGAGGTTTTCGAGCGAGGATGACAGGATTTGCTGTCGCCATGGCTGTCACGGGGGGCCATTTGTAGCCATTGCATCGCAAGTTTTTGGAAAACCAGAAAAATAGCTTGTCGCTCAGAAAAGATCGTGACGATTTCTGCGAGACGGTAGCACCCGCGAATCTCGCGTCGGTTGTAATTTGCTCTTCATGCTTATTATGCGCATGTACTTCAAAGAACGCAAGGTATAGATTACCTTTTCTACAGTAACTTCTAATGCGGAGAGTGAGGTGGCAGCCGTATTTTGTCACTAATCTTGTTATCGACGATTTATTTTGATCATTCGGTGATTGCTTACTGAAATCTTAGTTACTTGCTGCAATGTCAACGGTGTCGTCGCCGTCGTCGTGTGGGGTTGCCACGAAGTTGGCAATGTCCGTTGAATCGCACGCTTCTGGACAGCCCTCAAAATCACAGCAGATACCACTGTTGCGATTAAACGATTGATTGCAAAAAAAAAGAAAAAAGCCGTGAAACACTTTTATGGTGTGCGCGGGCGGAGCAGGGACAGCTTGCAAAAGATAGCACCTTCAACCACCGAAAATGAGTAAAATGCAACAAAGAAGCTGTTTCCAAACAATGTAGGCATATGTCAATTGCAAAAGGCTAAGCAAAATGACTTTTTTTTTTTTGCATTACCAGATTTTTCACTCATATCAAAAAAGTTTTCATAAAGTTTGCTTCGCATAATAAACACCCCCAACTTTGCTCCGGTTTTTCTAGAAAAAAAAAAGTGCGTTCATTACGCGAGTAAATACGGTACTACTACGATGTAAGCAATAAAATTGAAAGTGGCTTGTGTCAGTGAAGCTTTTGCATGCGGCTACATTCTCTGTAATGGGTAGCATCTTAAACAACGAGCAATTATGCACGTGAAATGTTTTTGAATGTGCTAGGCATCTAATACGTGGTCTTAAGAGCGCACGCCCAGTAATGTCCATGCATTTTGTAATGGGTGGTCGGCTTCAAAACACAAAGTTGTTATGATAATCCCATGTTCTGACGCCTGATCACGCAATATTACTGTGATATTACATTATGCATTGTGAAGCCTGTATACAGGATGCGTGCGTCTGTCAAGTATGAAAGCTATTTTCGCTGTATTTCCCAGCAGACGCATGGCTCTGTGGTAGAACACTTGCTTGCCACACAAGGAACCTCGGTTGGATCATCACGCTGACCAGAAAATTTTTATTATTTATTTTATTTGCACCTTTTTCGATTTTTCAGTCAACAAGATCATTTTTCACTCACAACTAACGACACCCAGGCTGACACTAGTGCCGAATTTTCTGTGAAACGAGCTCTTAAACACTATAGTGTTAATAGGTCTGAAATGTATTAGAGTGCAACAGGAGAGCAGGATGGATCAGAAGAATAGTAAATTCATAGAGACAAGACGTGCTCGGTGGATGCAGGACGGAAGTTGCACTACATGAGACCTCCAGACAAGGACATTGTCCTTCAGTACAAATTGAGGATGATGATAATAACAATGATTGTGATGATGGAGTGATTGTATATTCAGTCTGACTCTTTCACACAATTAAAATCCCTTCAACAGAAATGACAACTAAGAGGTGCTACTGCACACTAGCACTGTTTTTGCTTTATAGCGGCTTCTTGGCTTTAAAGTAGAGCGAATGCTAGACGTGGAATTCAGACAAGAGTTGCGTTAGCTCGATATGCGCACATTATGTACACTTTTCAAGACAATGATTCACATACCGTGCACACTTTGTGAGCAAAAAATGCGTAATTAACGTGGAGGTTAGATGGCAAGTTAGGGAGACGGCCTAAGAAGTGGCAGTTGCAGCAATGTACATCCCACGTCAGAAAATTCACACATAACACAACAATATCACGCACAAACACACACCGACAAAAAAAGACAGCTGCTTGTTTTTTTTTTTTTCCGAAATGTTGCTTTCTCCCACTGGTGCTTTTTTACAACAATACATAAGAAGTAAACAAGCATGTACACAAAACGAAAATCATATTTGATGAGGAGTGCAGTGTTGACAAGCTAAACATCTTTAAGAGAGCTCGTTTTCACTATGTGCTCGTTCACATTAAAAAGGATCTAAATAGAGTTATTCGATTCCAGCATTAGCTGCTTATAATACAGAAAAGCAATGAAATGTAGAAGTAAAAATTGTTAGCTACACCAATGACTAGAACTCCTGTGCACGACGAGAAAGAAAGCAGCACGTTTACTGAAAACGTTACAATAAAAATATATGTGTATAATGATATAAATTGATGCATTAAAAAGGCCTGCACACGTAGAAATGGCATTTGTCAACAATCTTCCCTTTCCCTTGACTTGTTGAAACTGAATAGTATAAACAGAAGCTTATTTTCTTTTTTTAAACTAGAAGCTGCACAGTTTGGCAATACCAGGACTGTATCCTATCTGGAAACAAGCTCTTGCTCAAAGGCTTCTTCGCCAGGCGCCGAAACGGACACAATCGTCCAGCCTGCTTGAGCATTGGGAGTGACCACCACGTCGGCGACTGAGACTACGGGCACGTCAGTGTCGCCTTCGCCTGTTGCACTGCGAGATGACAAGAACAAGGGAACGTTACTGCTGCGTACTGCCTACTGCTGGAACTTCAGTGTTGACACTCAAGTCTTTGCACTAGCATCGACACTTTAGAGAAAGACGGCTGAGCCAAACAACCAGCAACATCACCAAAGCAACCTTCACTCTTGACACACAAATACGCTTGATAGGCAACAAAACTTTCAAAATACAGTACTATAACCTTATTACAACAGACCTCTATAGCAAAAACGATTCTGGAGTGTTCGTAAAATGCAAGTACTGATACAACAAACCTTCACAGAAACACTGAATGTGTCTGTTATAAATGGAGACTATTAAGAGTCATATACGAATTTACTCTCAATGGGGCATAAAAAATTGATTTCATAAAAAGCAAATCACCAGTTGCTGTAGGCCCCCTTTTTTTGTCTGATTCCAAAAGATCTTCACTAAACAATGTGTAGAAATGCTGCAAAAAGTTTTTGTACCTGCCGTCGTGATTAAAACTTATTGTGGAAAAAAAAAAAGAATTTTTCAATAATTCATAGCTTCAAACAGCACAACTGCCCATTACCATTTTGGGCTCGCCGTAAAAGTATTTCATAAAGAGCATTCAGAGTTCAAAAAGCATATGTTTGAAATTCATTTCCAGGCCTCCAATTGGCTGCTTCTGCCGCGTTGCTCCATTACACCTCGTTGGTTCGATGTTCGTTCCGGGACACGCCTCCGGGATAGCGTCGTCTGCTTCTTGTGCGTCGTGAGGTTGTGGCTGTCCAAAATCGTGCTACTTAATGGCGCTTTTCCACTTGTTCTGTGTTCACGTGTCAATGATAATTCAGGATACAATTACACCTTTGTTAAAGCTGCAAGCCGAACTTTAGTCATCAAATTACGATTGCGCACCGCACTCGTTGCGAACATCGCACACGTGCGTCTTGTACCGACTGTCATAGCGTTGACTCGACGGCAGGAAAGTTCAGCGTATCAGCGCTTTGGACCTTGTTATGAGTATCACAGTGGAACACATCTTTGCACTCGCGATTGCACATGAGGTACATTGAAATATCGGGCGCCGCGGCCACGCACATCGCGGCCAGGCTTTCTGCTCCAAATCATGGCAGGCCTAAATTCTGCCCCAAACTTGGCGGGAGCGACCGTTTCGCTAGCAGATACAGTTGACATACGATTTCCCGGACCCTCAAGGCACAGCGAAAACGTCCGGAAAATCTGACAGTCCGGAAAACCGAATGCAAGTGAAAACACACTTTTTAATAGGCATTTTTCGCTGATGGAGAGATTCGCGGCAGGAGTACAAGGTTCTCATTGCAATTCAGCAAATGCATCCCTTTGGTGGCTCTGATAATAGACAAAAGAGAGAATGAAAAGAAAAAAATCAGATGTGGCCGGTGCTATGGCATTTGTTTAACAATTATGCGCAAAAAAAAAAGTCGGTTATTTTCGTTTGCATGATGTTCCACTTGCCCGGGATGATGTCTGCTTCAATTTCAGTCAACGTCATGCTGTCCCTGTACACCGACGACGGTGTCAGTGCTCGCTTCAATTAAGAGCTCGCTGGCTGTGTAGGCAGGCACTGCCTCTTCAATCTTGGTGCCGGAGTTGTCCGAATCCTCGATAATTTGACAATTGATTTTATCATCAGTCACTTCCGCACACAGCTCAAGGTCTCCGTCAGTGTCGGCGAAGCCCTCAAACTGGAATCAAAACACTGGCAGTGAGCAAGCAGATCGACGAAAGCAACGTCCACATGTATGCGCCGCCGCAGTGGTCTAGTGGCTAAGGTACTCGGCTACTAACCCGCAGGTCACGGGATCGAATCCCGGCTGTGGCGGCTGCATTTCCGATGGAGGCGGAAAAGTTGTAGGCCCGTGTGCTCAGATTTGGGTGCACGTTAAAGAACCCCAGGTGGTAGAAATATCCGGAGCCCTCCACTACGGCGTCTCTCATAATCATATGGTGGTTTTGGGACGTTAAACTCCAGATATCATGTCGTAAGCCCGTGTGCTCAGATTTGGGTGCACGTTAAAGAACCCCAGGTGGTCAAAATTTCCGGAGCCCTCCACTACGGCGTCTCTCATAATCATATGGTGGTTTTGGGACGTTAAACCCCACAAATCAATCAAACCCCACATATCAATCAATCAACGTCCACATGAAGAAGTTCGTTGCACATGTTGTCCACTTTGGTTGAGACAGCCATCTCGGGCACCCAGTATGAAGCACGCGCCACGAAAACCGTTCCAGAGGGTCTGTTTGTTGCGTAACTACTTTCCACGAGTATGCAAGCATGCGGACAGCAGACCATAGGTCAACAGCGTAGCTTTTTCCACCGGCAAGGTTCTGTTTGGCTTTCTGTGGGAGCGCAGGCTGTAAGACAGCACCATGTGGCCTAAGCTACAGCTGGGGCTGGTAACGAATTGGGGTGCGCTGAATTGCAGCATTTTCGATTTCGAGAATACAGCAGCCATGACGCGGTAGGTTTGATAGTCCAAAAACAATCAAAATGGCGGGATCGATAGTGACTTCAAGTCCTTTGGTCAGTGGTAAAAAGTCCGGAGAATTTGATGGTAAAATCTATAAACGTCCCGAATTTCCGACTTTTTATACATTGATATTATGGGAAACTTGAGGGTGCCACAGATGAGTCCGGAAAATCAGGCATGTCCGGAATTTCAGCCGTCCGAGAAATCAGATGTCGGCTGTATGCGAAAGCGAAGAAGCCGTAGTATGCTTCGTCGCAAGCAATGAATCACATCGGCTGCAAACTCTTTAGAAACGCGAAAAGACATTTTGCGCATCAGTGGCGGACTGCAGACATACTCGCCATGCACTAACCACTCGATACAGCAGTAACAACGGCAAGCAATTTCGCAGATCAGCCCCCCAACACGCAAATACAAGCATGCTGCACGCCGATTTTTTGTCGCCGTACCTTGGCATAACTAATCATAAACAGACCAGAGATTGGTGGCCTTTATTTGTAAATCGATTTGTCAATATTCCCTGCACTGTTCCCTCAGCAAAATTGTGCCAAGCGATGTTTGAAGTCGAAAGTTATAAAATTTAGGATGTCTGTGATAGAAAATCCGCTGTAGGGGAATCCAGACCACCTTGCTGGCCTCACATTTAGGTCAACTATGTCCGAATGATACAAGAATCCGTAGTAAACGAAGCTCAATCAATGCAACAAAGAGGGAGGTCAACATAATGCCACCAATTAGTATGTTGTGTTTGAATGTCTGTTGTAAGCCGATCTGCTGTAGCGAGGTTATACTGCACAGTAGGCTCTCATTAAAGGAAACCTGAAGGAACCAGTAAAATGTGTTCTGCTTAACAGGAGTTCAGTTCATAGGAGTTCAGTTTACTGAGAGATGAACAGGGGCACACAATGCAAGAACGAAACCAATGTTGTCAGAAGCATTTGTTCCATTTAAGGAGCTGTTCCATTAAACAGATTTCCATTTACTGAGAGTCTACTGTATATGCAGATGGCAACTCCACCTTGAGATTCCTTCAACGACTTACTGTTGTGGCATACATGTTTATGGTCTAAGCAGGGGTGGAAGTGGACTTCAGCGTTTCAGAGCAGCTCAGAGAGCAGGAATAATGCTGTTTTGGAGCAGCTTTGGAACAGTAAAAGGAGAGTTTTTGAGCACATTTAGAGCACCAAAATGTGTGTTTTGAAGCAATGCGAGTTAGTTTTAGAGCAGCTTTCTAGGGTCAAACATCATCATTACTCAAAATTATTTCAGGTAAAAAAAAATTTGAATGGTTCCCACTAAACATTTAGTACTAATGAGCTTAAGGGGGCAGACTGCTCTTTGGGGCCAAAAAGTGACAAAAAAATTCATTTTTTAAAATTGACATATTTGGTTTCTGCAAGTACTTTTTTATCTCTCTGCAAATTTTCACGCACCAGGAAGTAGTAATTTTTTTGTAATGTCATTTTAACTGTCCAGATTCTTGGTGCTGTTAACATGCAGAACCTGCAAAAAAATGGGGAACCGACTTTGAGGCTTCTTTATAATTTGCCAGCACCTTTGTCTGAAGCTCTACTATCAATTTATGAGCGCCTTAATGAGGATTGCAAAACATGCGCACCATGTTTATTGCTTTTTGAAGAAACTGTGTGTTTTCAGTTTTTTCTATTTTTCTCAAAAAAGTAAATTTGTGACTATTCAATTTTGAGGCCTCAATATTTCTGTAGCTAGGGCAGGTACAACAATAATTCTCTTTGCAGTGGAAACCTGTAAGTGTGTAGAATGCAAGTATGGGAGCAGAATTTAGAGCACATGCCTTTTTAATTAATTACTAATCAAAATTGTAACACAATTCCAACTGCTTTTAAAAATATATAGTTCATTTTGCTGCAAAATAACCAATAAAGGCCTAAAAAACAAAACCTCTTCCATACTTTCACTCTATAGTCATTAGTCTACGTTTGCATATCCTAAATATCACTTTTAATTAAGCACTTTTTTTTCTATGGTGGCCTTAAACAATAGGGGGTGAACTAGGTATCTCAGAAACAAAGTGAGTTATAGGAAAACTAATTCAATATTTGAAATCAGCAGAAAAAACTGCATAACTTGAATGGTTCCCACTAAACATTTAGTACTAATGAGCTTAACAGACTTACCACCCACAAATGTGTGCGTGCAATGAGTCGAGCACTAGCAAACCTAAATACATACAACGCGATCGAACTACACTAGATAAGAATGCAGCCGCGTCCTGTGTGTAGACAACGCTCAGTCTTGCTAGGTCGACAATACAATCGGCTCAATTTGACAGCTTACATTTTCTAATTGACAATTATTGCGGAAATTGCCGTTTATGCACAGCAGGTGAGATTGGCACAGAATGGTGCAATTGGTGCAGGGCTTCCACCCCTGGCTACGGCCAATGTAATTACTTATTGGCTAAAATTTACAGAAAAACTTGACTAAGGCAACGCAGCCACAATATAAAAAAGACTGAAATTTGTGCATTAGTGCCACACACAGACACCCTACTCTCTGTTTTTTCTGTAATAGACAATAACATGAAATATTCTTGTTCAATAGGTTTTACTGTACTATATACCTTGAGCACAATCATTAAAACAAGTTTTTATGAGTACAGCAGCTACATTAGTACAAGCATAATTCTTATCGACAGTGGTCGAGGAAGAAACGCCTCAGGCTGGAGTCAGTAATTAATAAAGAGTTGTTCTTGCGAGGGTGTTACAACATTTTTATTGCAACGAAACCAAAAAACGGTGAAGAGAAAGGTTTAATATAACCAGCACATGCACTTCTGTTGTATAAAACCAAATGCCATATCTAAATGTGGGCTAATCACATTTACACACACTAACAGTGTCCTTAACAACAAATCGTTCTTTGTACATGCCTGATGAACCAGATGCTTTCCTGATACCTCCCTGCACTCCGTAGAGGCGATGTATAAGCACGTTTAAAATCCTGAATGCCAAGATTCTTCCATGCGCATTCATACAGATTACCGGAAGACCGAAACAGCTCTAATTGAAGCCGCTGACACCCCGTTGATTATCTTGCAGTCTGTAACTAACGCTTGCATGTGAAGTTTTGATTGGAGCTGTAGAAGTTCCCGAATTTGCTTTTGCAGCTCACCTAAAGTTTTATGCAGTCAAGCATATAAAATGAGCTGTTATGACACGAGTAAACATGTCCTATGATTATACATGCTCTTATCACAGTGTAACCTTCGATATGTCTAATATAAGTCTCAAGAGCCATTTTTAACGTGGCAGTGGCAAATGAGTCGTTGAGGGCAATAAGCAGGCATACAGTAGACTCTCAGTAAATGAAAATCTGTTTAACAGAACTGCTGCTTAAATGGAACAAATGCTTCTGACAAGATTGGTTTCATTCTTGCATTGTGTGCCCCTGTTCATCTCTCAGTAAACTGAACTCCTGTCAAACAGAACACATTTTACTGGTCAATTCAGGTTCCGTTTATAGAGAGCCTACTGTATATCGGTTTTCAGGAACCAAATCTTCCTTACGATTTCAAGGTACTTGATATTAAAAACCGATGTTGACTGCCAATAAACTATGGTGAAGTAGAAGACAAAAGACGGTTTGCAAAGAAATGGAGAATGAGTAGACCAATGTAATTATGCCAAAGACCAAGCACTTATTGTCCACTCACCTGAGCGTGGCATGCTGCTGATACTGGGCCAGTAAGAGGTTCAACTGCGCTGGGTCAAGCGTTGATGCAGCCACCTCGGTCGTCTCCACCGTTGTATTGAGTGTTTCGGTGATAGCCTGCTGCTCCTGCTGGCTGTTGTCTATGCCCTCACCTTGGCTCTCAACCTCTCGCAAAGGCCGAGTGGTCAGGAATGTAGTGGAGCCACTGCTCTGACGGAAGTCTGACAGATTTTGGGTGAGTTCGGACATCGCCCGAGTCAGCAGGTCAGCCTGGCGCCCTCCGTTGCTGCAATTGGCCGCCTGTAAAGGTTGCAGAATTAGCAGTATTAGAATGTTACAAACTACTCTGCCACGAATGACGTTAGACATTTGCTTGAAAGCAGCCTTTGCCTCTGCGATCGAATACAAAAAGACTACATCGCCACCATTCAACAACTATCACTGTTTTACTGCAATCAATGTCATATGTAGGTAGGCAAAAATGTTACCATACCGTTGACACTGCATTGCCGTTTATGCGCAGCCTAGCGCAGCAGGTTAGATTGGCACAAAATGGTGCAATTGGTTCAATAGTGCAATGAGCCAATTTTTTTTCATCAACAAAATGGCCGGCTACTGATTGTTCGACCATTACAATGTAACAAGCAGAGTGTTGCGCCAGCACGCGGTCCACACCTGAAGTTCTTCATCTTCAGCAGCTTCCACCACGTTTGAGTTTTGTGGCACTGTACACGCACTACCCGAAGTGAAAACAAAGCAAATGCGCGCCAAATCTGCAGTGGACGAAATCGTGGTCGTTAAAAACACGAACATAGCGTTCACGTAGTTTTCAAACCACTCACACGGCCTACATCAAAAGTTGATACGAAACCTAGAGCACGCAAGTGCTACTGAATAAGCCTGGCTCACTTATGCTCCATCATGCATGGTGACTAAGCAGTAATCAAACCAGTGAGAATCAAACTGCCGTAATTGCACGATTCTAAGTCGGCTCGAGTGTAGGTCAACCGCCATAAAATTGCAAAAGATGAAAAATAAAAAAAAGGAGGGGGAGGAAAGTAAGAAAAATACAAACCCATTTCAGTAAAAAAAAAATATAGCAATGAGCCTGTTCCTAGTCCGTACAGCAACTAAAGTGGACATCACCTAAACAGGAGTGGAACAGGGTACATGGGTTTGGGAGCAGTACTGGAAGCAGGCAAAAGCACTTTTTGAAGCAGGCTTGAAGCAGCCGGAAGGGCCTTTTCGAGCAAGTTTAGAGCAGTAAAAACATTCAGATTAGATTTAGCCCCGTTCAAAGCACTTGTCAAGCAAGATTTGTGCAATGGTGCATTTTTCGTACACTCAGCTAAATTGTGCAATAGCCTCATTATTGCGATAAAAATTACACGGACACGTCCGACTGGTTCTTGCCGTTGCCGTGATGTCCCATATAAATTCCAAATTAATAATAAACCACCGCACATTTTATGTATGTTCTATTTGCGTGTAAAAGCATGCGAGCGGTGGCGTCGAGCGCGATTGAAGCAGAGATCAAACAATCCAGCCCATCTACGCCATTGGGAGGGCACGTGTGTAATAATATCGAAGAAAGAAGAAGCACTCCGCCCATCTTAGAGAAGCATGAAAACAATTGAAAAAAAAAAAAAGAAAGAGGAAGGGTTGGCAGGTATCATTCGAGGCGCGGTCGCAATCACTGGCGCGCATGCTAGCTCAGCAGCCATCAGCGGGCGACTCGAATACACTGCTACGTGCTGCACTCTCATTGCGAAGGGACTGCATGAAAGGACTCCTTGCAGTGACTGTATTCTCGTACCGTAATGTGAGACAGGATCCGAAAGTTAGCTGCCAGCCTCATTTTGTATAACGTTACAATTTGCTGCTATAGCATTCATTGCTTCACCCTAGTGCGCAACTGTGACTTCTTTAGTTATATACAGTTGCCCCATGTTCTTAACCTGAATGCACGAGTGTCAGCCGCAGAGTCGATAAGCGCAAAGCACAGCGGTAAAATGGACGAGAATGCATGCATATGCTCGATGGGCAGCCATGCGCACTTGTCTTTGCTAGGCTTTTCTGGGAACCGGACACCACCCACATTCTTTTAAGCACCACTACTGCCATCCTTTACAATTTCTTCCGAAAGCTGCCATCATGTCATAAAAAACAGTTTCACCAGAACGAATTGCAAAGCTGGCAGCCAACTAATTTAGATCTGATATCGCGTAAGAGAATACAGCCGTGCCGGGAAGAGATGCCCTTCTCACACTCTTCCCGTTGAGAACGCAGCATGTAGAAGGGTTCATGAGCTATTCGCGATGATGCCTGCCAAGATCGTGTGCGCATAGCGATCGCAACCACGCCCTTAGGATCAAAGTTCACAGCTGCTCCTGGAGCGATCACAACCATTATGAGACCGAAACTATATTAGTTTCAATTAAACCAAAAAGACAATGTTTCAGCCGTGTTTCCGGGCACGGCACTTGATGGCTTTCACATTTTGCAGCTAAATTCTGCTGCTGTGACGCAGTACGGCGGTGCTAGGCAAGCTTGGCGGCACTGAGGGGTGGTCCAGCCCAGGAAAGCAAGTGTTACACACAATGGGGCAAATGGCGCAGCTGTTCCACCCCCACCTAAATCAGGCGGGTCTGCGTTCCCGCCTTTCTTTGGTGGATGTTTGCGGCACTAGATGTCACTTGGTCCGCATGTGTCGTCGCATTTTGGCCACCGAAAATCATGCGTGCTTCCCCAAACAAGCGCGCATGCACAGACTGATTGATATGTTGGGTTTAACATCCCAAAACCATCATATGATTATGAGATACGCCGTAGTGGAGGGCTCCAGAAATTTCGACCACCTGGGGTACTTTAACGTGCGCCCAAATTTGAGCACAATGGCCTACAGCGTTTCCGCCTCCATTGAAAATGCAGCCGCCGCAGCTGAGATTTGATCCTGCGACCTGCAGGTTAGCAGCAGAGTACCTGCATGCACAGACTACCAACAGGGAAAAGGCCTATTATTTACGATGTCTCCCAAGAAAACAAAATCAAAGGTGGCTTCACGGCACTGCTTGAAAGCTGTGCAAAAAAAGCTAGGTTCATAAAAAGTCTTTTCTTAAAAACTTTACAGCCATAACTAGTTTTCCATTCTAGGTTGACCCCTAAATTCGGGTTTCGAATTAAGGTAGGACTGATAGTTTGGCTAGTTGGTGATACATTATGGGCAGTACCAGCGCACAAACTCACGGGACGAAGAGAAGAGACACAAACAAGCGCTGCACAAATTAAGACAAAATAAGTTGACCTACAATACTGTAAATGCGGTAATGCTTGTCGCAGTTCCAAACCTTGTTGCTATTGGCCCAATCATACACAACTCCCATGCAGCTCATGTTTGCTGCAGCCAGTAAACATTGGTCGCAATGTCACTGCGGTAAAACTGTGGATGGTGACCCCACCTTTCTGAAGGTCCACGGGCATTCCGGTGGTTTGCAAACCCTGTTTTTGCTCCTTTTCTACGGCACATTTGTAATGCTTTGTGCGTGGTAAGCATCGAGGATTGTTCAAATTAACCCTGCTGAAGTCAAACGTGACCGAATGAACGAGTTTGATGCCACTTAACCATACATGTGCTGGCCAGGACCAATGAACCTGTCCAGATGATCTGATTTTTCAAATTAAGGGAGGTCCAATCAGCAAGCTTTAGCTATATATCCAATTGTCAAGTCAATCATTCATAAGTTAATGAGTTAGTAGTGGCAAAGTATTTCCACCTTGGCATAGAGTCTGTCCGACTATCACAGAATTATAAAAGAATGTGCATTGTCAAAAAGAACACGCTGTATATGAAAGTGGCAATACAGGGTATACAAGACAAAACCCTTCATATGTCAAACAAACTCTGTGCAAGCTTCATATCTGCTGTCACTTCAGACACTCGTTGCAATTTAAATGTTCACTATCCATCGACATACTTTCATTTATGAACTGGAAAGCACTGAATACCCACAATGTCATAACCACCGTTCCCTGACCTGGTTGTTGTTGTTGTTGCCAAACAGGGCCACCATCTCCATGTGCTTCTTGCGCTGATGCTGAAGCAACTTGGCCTTGCTGGCGTACTGCTTGTGGCAGAGGCAGCAGCTGTGGGGCTGAGTAGTCACACTGCCCACCATGTGCGAGAACGTCGGGTTCGGCTGGCCAGGGAGGCTGGGCACACCTCCCTGAAAATTGTCAAACACCAGAAGAGTAAACTTCCCACTTTGCAAAGGCATATTGTTCGCCTTGTGTGAATAGTAAATTATAAGTACCAAGCAAACTTGAAGCGAATAGTGTATATCGCATATAGTAATGAAAAATGAGCATCTCTCTCGTGACCCAACCAACTTGCAAAGATATATAACTCTTGAATTGAAACAAGGCATCAGCGAATTTAATTCTTTTTTAATTGTAAAGAAGTGGAAGCAACTTTGAATAGTAGGAAGATTCGACTTTTGGTAGAATGCAAGTGATAACCTGTGATAAGCTTTAAAAATCACGACGCATAGAGCCTATAAGCCAGCACAACAAGCTTTGAACCTAAAAGAGGAAGAATCGATCCGAGGGTGATATGTTCCTTCAACTTTGAAGTAAAACTTTGCAGCAGTGTGCCTTTTTCTTGAAAAGGTGTTCTCACTGCATAACATCCCTCCACTGCAGCAAATCCATCTTTGCAAGGGGATTACATGCAGACTAATATATACCTGTTCATTCATTTTGAATACTTTGAAATTTCAAATAATTATTAGAATAATATTTGAATTTCTTGAATACCTGCAGAAAATCTACCAAATGCACTTGTTGCTTTCTTTATTGTAATCTTCAACGTCTCATCACAATACAATTCAGTGCACTTTTATTTTAAACCGCCGAATATTCGGCTTGAGGGTGCATTAGATTTGAGTAGTACACTCAGACCTTACTATTAACAAAGCCAGATATAACGAAATATCATTTATAACGAAGTAAGTGCAGGATTGTTTTGCAGTAGTTGTTGTGTTAGGAATACATATACCTGTGTACAAATTTTCAAATATAACAAAGTTATTTTTGTGTAGGATGCAACTTTGCTATAATCAGGTGTGAGTGTATAACAGTTTTTCAAGAATGAAATTCGAGTAGCTCATTAAAAGTGGTACATGAACTAAATGGAACCCGTCAGAGCCAGGCATGCACGCACCTTGACACGGTTGCTCATTGGCAAAGCAGCGCCCGGGTGGTTCTTGAGGATGTGGGCCTTTCGCTTAGAAGAGGACCGATAAACCTTTTCGCAGTATTGGCAGTAGTAGTCGCGCGTGGCCCGAAGAATGGGGAGATTAAGCTCTGGCACCAGCTCCAGCTGAACGTTGGGATGCCGCTTTGCCATGTGGTTGACCAACATGCCCCGACGCTTGAATCCCAGCATGCACGTGTGGCACTTGTAGATGAACCGCTGATAGTCAGTCGGTGGAACCTGGGCCCAAATACCAGAACCTTAAGTTTAAGGTGATCATTGATTCAGGCTGCACTGAGACTTTAATGCTCGAGAATGTCAAAAATGCTAGTCTTATTGACAACTGAAGTGTTAGTAATTGAGAACCTAAAGACTGAAGGCGCGGGAGGAGATGTGACCAGCTATTTAATTTTCGAACACCCCTGCATGCCCCAGGACATGGTAGTGCGGCACAGCCAATGTGCCGTAGTGTGCGCTTCATGTCAGCTATGTGCACATCAGTATTCTTTCGCGACGAAAACACCTGCAGCAGTGAGAGGCAGTCTGTGTATACATTCACGTCATGAACGGTGGGGTGGCTGCGCAGCCAACTTATTGCCTCTGCCAAGGCCAACACCTTAGCGCAGAACGCGCTCGTGGCCTTGGAGAGAAAGAACTGACCCACTATGGCCACATGGTCCACATGGTACACCGGACCAAGGACAATGTTCGCTGCCCTTGCCAGCCCCTCTTACTACAATCCATTTGTGTATGCGTGCAGACCGCGGCTTCTAGCTGTCAGGATGGCCTCACGGGAATTCAACCTGCATAGTCGCATCGACACCCTATCAGCAGGATGAACCCCATGCCAATCGACTGAGTACAGGACCTCTTCCGTCACCAAGCAACACTCTGTGGTCAGTCAGTCCAGTTCGAGCACGATGGGAGGGGCGCGCATTAAGACCTGCAGCACTGTTGTCCTAGTTGTCCGAAAAGCCTCCGACAGATGGAGCAACACCGACCGCTGTAGGGGTACCATCCGGGGCTTCAACCTACAGTCAGGGCAGATCTTGTCCCACTATATCGGCAAGGCACATATTATTGCCGGGAGGGTGACGCTTCAGTATATCTTTACCTTATGCTCTGGGCACCGGCGTCTGCCTTATAAACGAGCCAAGGTGTTGACTCACGCGATCAAAGATTAAATCATTTCCCTCAGCGTTTCGGCATGCATAAAGAATGGAAGTCTGCGGTTAAACGTCCCACCCAGGATGCAAATGGCCCGAATGGTAAGGTGGCTTTTTTTTTTGCCGATGCCCCACTGATCATGCGAAAAGAGGACACAGTACAATTGTTTTCTTTTTGACCGTGACCGTTACTATGCGTGCCCGGGCCACCACCCTGTTGAGCACCTCAAAGCCCAGTTCTTTGAGCTTCTTTTTCGATTCAACTGGTATAATGATCAGTGTGTCATCCGCCTATGCCTGCGTCGTGACACCGTTTGGCATGACCAGGCGGAGCAGGTCATGCACAATGATGTTCCATAGCATGGACCATAAAGGTGAACATTGCAGGATACCCAGAGAAGGATTCGCCTCCACCTGCTCACCCTGAGCCCGAAACACAACAAATCACTCACTAAGAACTTGCGCAGTTAGCTGGGACCTGTCACTTTTTGAGGAAGTGCAGAACCTGCGGGTGCCACACACAAATGAATACTCCCTGAAAATCGAGCGACATAAGCATAACAGGAATTTTTGCAGCCCTGAGTTGGACGAGCCGCGTTTTAAGGGCATGCAAAGCGAGGACAGCACTCCTTGCGTGCGTGAAGCCAAACTGGTTGGCATGCACGTAACCGTTCTTCCACAAAAAGTGGTATAGCCGCCCGTTCAGTAGCATCTCCAGCACCTTGCCGAACGTGGAGTTTATGCGAATCGGCCTCTGAGAAGTGGTCTTCTGCGGAGAGCGGTTGGGCTTGGGTATGAACGTAGTGCGTCCACGCCTCCAGCACCTAGGAAACTACCCGAGCCAGAGCGCCGTGTTCATGACAAACAACACAAGTATCGTCCGGACTGCAAAGAGACCCTTCATCGTGGTGGGCGTGATGTCATCGGGACTGGGTGTGGATCTGGGCAACATCTTTGAGACCACATCCTTCACTTCCCCCAAAAGTGAAGGGCACGTCCTCTGATATTGACTGGTACAGCGAGGCTGCCAAATCGCGAACCAGTGCGTGCTCCTAGAGATCGGTAGCCGGGTCGTCCACCGCTACCTGCATTCGCAGGAGCAACGCGGCCGATTCCAAGTGGGAGCTCATCACTGACCCACCCGGGCCCTGCAGGGGCGGCAGGAACTCCTTAGCAAGCGCTCAATCGAACGCTTCCACCATTCCATTCTATAGTGGAGTCTATAAACAAAAACCTCAGGGGGTCATGAAAATGTATTTCGTTGACCAGGAGTCCAATTTACAGAGAGGTATTCAAAAGAGGCAACTGCTTCATTGCAAGGCTGAAATCAATAAAAATAAAATAAGAAGTTCATTGGCCACTGACCTATGTATCACCAACAGCGACTGACTGACACAAAATGAAATAAATTCGAGCTTTGCTCAGTTGCACTGCAAAGCACTGTTTGAGATACCCGTGATTTGCCGACAAAAGTCTCTTCCTGTGCGGAGTATAAACATGTTGAGGTTTTCCACAACTTGTTTCTTTTTTTTTTTCTTGAAGAATCATTGTGAAGGTGTTTTTTGAGATGCAACACATTGAAGTAAGCACCATTTTTGTGATGCAACTACTTTCAAATCTATTTCCGAATTTCACCTTCCCTTCTGTAATGAATGAGAGGCACAGAAATTTCAATATTGCCTCACAAGCGCTTGGGACACTCCCAGACTGGACACACCAGAGTCAACCATAAGTATGCTTATACCGCGAACAATGAAGGATCAACCATAGCCAATTAAAGAATCAAAGAAGGGGGAAAAAGTAAAAAAAAGGGGGGAGAGTTACTTCATACTACAATGTCATCAATGCATATTGTGATAAAACTGAAATGGTTTCGTTTGTAGTAGTGCTTATACTTACATTTATTTAATATTTTAATTTTTATTTTGCTCAAGCAGGAGAAGATGTACATAAGCACACATGTCCAAAAGAAAAAAAAACAGCAGAACTATTTGCATAACAAGAGTGAGGTAGATAGTAATGCTTTCCACTCTGTAGTTGTTTACGGGAAGAAAGAATATTTATATGATTTGTCCTTGCAAATACAGGTTTCATGCCATGGCTGTGCTTGTGACGTGAGGCTCGGCTGATGTGCTTGTCAGGATTCATTCCTAGCTTACCAAAAATAAGAAATTTAAACATGCTGGTTTTCTTCTTCTAGATAGTGGTTCTATTTCAGCAATCCATAGCATAAGTGAAGGCGAATCAAGGCGTCAGAATAGTTTGTAAACGTAGTTGACGGCTAATCTTTGAATTTTTCCAGTTTTTTTTTTAAGCTGACAAAAATATAACGATGCAAAACAAGACTGCCAAGCACTGCCACTTAGTCCAAGCCATGCAAACAATGCCAATGTTTAATGAATAATATTTAGCATGGATTGGAAACAAAGTATACCAAACATGACATTGGCATTCCACTGAATCAAGAGGCAGTTCTGTTTAAGGGGGGATGTGGCAATTAAAATTACGTATGCCTGTTATTTATTGGAATAAATTAATTAAATTTAGCTTGCTGATGCAGTTTGTTATGCTAATATCAATGATGAAATCATTTTTAAGACAGGTTTTATAGTTTCTGGGTTATGCCATAATTAATTGGTTAATTAGACATAATTCAGGTAGCATATTTGCTTAAGCATATTCAGCAATGCTCACTGTGTACCTTAACACTCTTTATTAATCTTTTCTTAAATCTAAACTAGCACTGAAAAAAATTTCTGAACTCTCCTAATTATAGTTCTTTTTTCAACATCTTTTGTAAAAAAGACATTTATAACATTTTTTATAACATGCAGAGAAAAATGAATAGCATTACAGCAGTCACTATTGCTTCAGCTTCTAAGTGCAAAAAGCAGAATGACCATAGATGCAATGGTTATAAAGTAGCACTTGAATTACTGACACAACTGTGCAAGAAAATGAATGCTGAGAAAACGGAGTTCAAAGTTTTATTCTGTGAAATTTGTTAACTTTTAACTTTGAGTCCTTAAAGCCCGCCTGGGATGTAGCCCTTTGTCTTTTTAAATACATTTTCTTTTTATTTCAATTTTGTTTTTTGCTTCTTGGGAGCAGTTTTGTGCACTTTGGTCGACTTTTTGACATGCCGTGCATCTCGATGTGCCTTGCATTTGCCTCTGTGTCCTTTTCGCACTGTGGTTTGTGTTTCACATAGCACTCCCCGTATCCATTGTCGTGAGGTTTTGGCCCAAGAGCACAACCATGACAGTAGTTGGAGAGAACACAGGGGTCCAAGAACAGGCCGGAGTACAACTCGATGACAGAGCCAACACCGATGTGGCTTGTGTGGCCCCTTGTCATCAATGTGCCATCGTAAATGACATTGATCTCCCCTGAGGCACATCTAAGGTCCCGATATTTTTGACGCACCTTCTCTGCTCATGCAGCCTCTATTGCTGTTGCTGCAGATGCAGTGGCAGGGTGGCTACGCTTGCAGTACAGCCTACGGTACAACTTGCGAAGCAGTTTCCTACGGGAAATGTCCATGTGGAAAAAAATATCATTCAGTGTAGTTTGATTTTTCCCCACTGACTGCACAGCTCTTACTGCACGAATATCTACCTCAAATGGGTTGACATGCTGAAGACCAGCCCACCTTGGAGATGACCACTCTTTACTTACTATTGCACAGTGGTCACAGAGCACATTCATTTCAGTTGCGAGCCCAAGAGAAAGTAGTTTTGCTGCCACCACACCAGTGGCAGCAAAATCAGGACAGCAGCTTATTCATCCTCACTTTGTGTGCTACAAAAAATGATGCTTCGAGAACAATATGATCGTCACTTTTGCCATCATTTAGAAGTTCTAATTCCTTTTTAGTAGCCAGGGTAGCAGACAATGCATTCAAAGCGTCCACTCACATTTCTTATCATCCCACAATCTCTACAATAGTGAGAGTTGGAGCCGAAGGCCGCTGCTGAATACTCAACACGTGAGCATCCACGCTTGCCGATGCTCCCAGAAGCTCGGTCACCACTGCTTGTGGACGCGTCAACACCATATGATGACCCCTAAACTCGGCACGTGGCTCTTCAACACCGCATGCAGACTCATCAACATCGCATGCGGAGGTATCTACACTGGACGTGGCGCCGCAAGCACTGGTCGCATCATCAATGCAGCACGCCGTCAACACGGCCCACGGTCAGGTTGTAATCGGCGCATACGTATGCGCTGTGCCAGTCACACACAGGGGAGCTGTCTCATCTGCCACGTGCGCTAGCTTTTCCTGGTTGGCGAGGTCAGCGCCGTTTGCTTCTGTGTCCAGTTTTCTCCTTTTATTTTATGGCTTTCGCCGTTTCTTGTATGTGTGTACTGTTCGGTACTTCGCTCATTTAGGGCTCATCGCAGAACACACATCTTGTTGTGGCCATCAATACAGGAATGAACAAAACCCACAGCAGCCAGTAGGGGCTCCCTCCTGCACAAATGCGCGCGAGAGCCATTTAAATGTTACACAACCAATACGATGAGCCATGAGCTCCCCCCCCATGACTGTTGCAATCAATCGCAATGGTACTTTTGCTCTTTTTTTGCTCGCTTTTCCTGGTTTTATTTTTCGTTGGTGAGATAGGGTGCTGCAGCTATTTTCAGCTCTGACCTTTCCTCTTCACAATGATATGAAGATGGCGGTGCTCTGTTGAGGGAGAGCCGTGAAATTCACGACACGGCGGCACCTTCTGTAGAGAGATTTTTTCGTGATTTTCGACGACCACACACAGATAAAGCGCTGTTTTTTCGATTACTACAGTGTAGCTCATTATAATATTTCAACATGAGGTAAAAGAAGATCCGAGGATCACAAAAAAAATAAGAAATCCAAAAAATCGATAATTTTGACCAAATTTACTGTTCTAATTGCTGCGTCCCCTTTTCAGCAATTTCTGTTAATAGAGATTTCACTGTAGTACTAGGGTGTAGTAATAGCACACAGACACTCATAATAAGAAGATCAAAGCAGTGAATTGTAAGATTATCAGTTGTTACTATTGCATATATGGTTGTTGAAGAAAAGAATCTCTAGATGTTATTCTTGAGAAGGTGCTATCACCTCTTACGAAGTCACTTGCGCCTCGTGGTGAACAAGTGTTCATGTCTCGGGGATAGGCCACATTTGTGTTCATCAGCAGCAGAGTGGTAGGTGGCGCAGTGCTCAGGTGGGTTCATCATCATCAGTATGGTTAGCGCGGTAGCGTCAGCAGTGCCACCTGGTGGCGAGGCTTGGTGGTGGCACAGAAAACACTAGAGAATTTCTTTGGCATTCGGGCAGCAATCGGGATGGACATCTCCTGCAGGGAATCTGCGGAGCACGGCAATCGTGGGTCGTGTCCTATGGGTCTCTCGTGGTGAGTCGAATAGTGGCAACGACGTTTTCGCGTTACTTTGCGTTTGTCGTTATGTTTGAGTGTTGTGTTAGCATATTGTATGAGGTTGCTTTACATGTCACTGGTAAGGTATTAATGACATCTTTATTTGTAAAAGTAGTAAAATAAATGTACACAATGTTTGGTTTGCGCGACCTGATCTACTGCGTCCGTATGTTCTGACAGCTGCGACCTTGTCTCGAGATGCCACACTTTTGGAAAAGATGTGTGTTGTAGAAAACTGCCATTTTCACCTACCCCCCACGCACTCGTGTTTCAATAGTTTTGTTACAATAGTTTTTCCTTTATAAGGACATTAAAAGCTTAAGTCAAAATAGATAGTCCAAACAGACTCCCAGAAGCTCCTTCCTTAACGAGTGAATGCTCACTTTGAAAGAAAATTATGTTTTAGGTGACCGCACACCATTTGTGCGATTCAAACCACCCCCTTTCAAGAATGGCCTTCTGACGTAGCAATCACCACACCCTCACTGCCTGACATCTTGGCGAAAATAGAACTAACATCCTTCTCAAGAGCAACTGCACATTCTTTTTTTTTGTGTGTGTGTGTGATGAGTATGTGTGTGTAAAAATCAAACTCAAATGCAAAATTTTCGCTCTGTTCCGACCTGTTACGCAATGAAATTTCCTTTCTTGTGATGGGTAGCTCAAACGTGAAAAATTCACTCTGTTCCGACTTGTAACAATGAAATTTTCTTTCTTGTGATGGGTGGTGTGAGTACTTGAGAGTATTTGTGCCTAGACCGTGCGACGTCATCTCGCTTATGTTCCACAATATCCTTGGGGTGGCGCGAATTGTGTCCTACATTAACTTAAATTTCTCGATTAGCAGAACGCCGCCGAGTGTAATATTGACATTTTAGACATTCTCAAGCACTGACCTTACATTATTACATGAAACGCTCTTTCTTTTTAGTGTCCCTTAAAATTGCAAGCTTTCATGATAGTGCCGCGGGCTCATGATGCAGATGAACGGAGCAGTTGGGGTCTTGTAGGTGAAGCTCTTTACTTGGCTGAACTTGTGGCCGCGTAACAGAAACTCGAATTACAGCAATCAATGCTCGCAGTACACGGATATTGGTGCACAGAGCACTGGTCGTCGCTAAACCTGGTCCATCGCTGGTCTTCTATACATCATGCATTAAAATTTCATGCCTTATCACTACTCGTCGTTCAATTTTCTGGAATAAGCTCAGGTGTTTGCGTCAGGCATCCATTCTTAATAAAATAATCTACTAAAATGGGGAAGCTTCTCAAACACCGAGGCACTGTTTGCGCTGAGTATTGCCAATGGTCTTTGCGAGTGTAAACACAATACAGCAAAAGCGCGTGTGTGACAATATTTAGAAAGTGCATACCTTGGGCACAAACCGCTTGGACGAAAGCGGGCGCGCGACTTTGGCGCGTGCCTGCTCCCGTGCCTCGCGATCTGGCGCATGCAGACGGCGTGTGTGTTCCTTGAGCTTGTCCTTGCGCTTGAACTGCCGACCGCAGAGTGCGCAGAGGAACTCTCGGTGCTCAGAGTGGCACAGCATATGAAGCTTCAGCTTGTCCTGCCGGGGAAACACCTTGGGACACAGCTCACACAGGAAGCGCTGGTTTGTGTGGAATGCCCGGATGTGCTTGCGCACCTGGTTGTACTCTGGAAATTTCTGCACACAGGAAAATATATGCATGTATATACAGTCGATCTTGGATATATCGAACTCGAAGGGGACTGCGAAATAGTTCAGTATATCGATAATTCGAAAAACAAAATATGCATACTTAAGGCCTAAATGAAAGCATTTCAGGCCTCGGAAATCGTTACAAGCGCTAACATAACGATTCACTCAGTATAATGAAGAACAAGGTGTGAACTGTAAGTTATTGCACTTTATTTCGCATGAAAACAGTCCGTAAACTTGTCATGCTTCTTGCGCACTATCAAGTTCCAGTCATCATCAATATGACTGAAGCTTTTCAAATAAGTGAATTCAGCTGCTTCAGCCACAACAGCGTTGATTGACGCAGAGCACCGATGCAACCTTTGAAGTGCAGAAAAAGGTTGGTTAGCGACGGCAGCGAAGGCGTTGGCTTATTCACAACTACATGGCTAGACTTCCACTGCACCGGCAACGGAAGCCATGATCTCAGCATTGAAGCAGTCAGAAACAGCTACATCGTCATCTGCACCGACGAAATCGCTCACTGTCTGAGATGGTGCCAGCAATTGCTGATAAGTAGCAGAATTCACTGAGACACCATATGCTGCTGTCCGCAGTCATGACGTACCTGAAGTCGTCTCCTGGCCAGCAAGGAAAGTTTACGGCGGTGCTTTACTTGACGTCACTCCAAACACCGGTCATTATTCTTACCGCTACGTACTGGTCAACATTCAGTTCAATTATCGAATGAGAATTTATTAGGAACGTGATGAAAATTCCACAAGGAGCCAATAGAAATGCCGAGTTCTTGCTGTCTACATGTTTGCAATATCAATGTCACTTGTGGCTCTGTAGCTGGCAGCCGCTGCTTTCAGCTGGTTTGATGCGGAAAGCTAGAAAAAGCGTAGCTTCCGAGACATGCACTTTAAAACCGAGAACATGAAAAATTAGTCACGAGGCTGCACATCTCGAAGGCCATGCTTTTTAGGCTTCGCGTACCATTGAGTGCTTACAAAACAAGGGAATGTAAACATTGCAACAAGATCACTGAGTCGCTTTGCATTCTCATTTTGGTGTCCTCGGGAATTGGTCTTTTTGAAAAATATTATGCCTGTGTGTTGAGACCTGCAGATCGCGCATCAAACATACTGGTGCACTCACGGTGTGCTCGCAAGCGCCGTACGATGAACCAGATCAGCGCGATGAAATGACGCTGCCTTTTCTTCGCCTGTGCACGAAAAGGGACCAGAATTGGTTCGAAAGAGCTGGAAATCGATCAGTATTTGCTCTAGTAAAAATGCATCTTCTGGGCCTCGGCGCGGGGCAGTGTTCGATATAGCGGATGTCCCGCTGTGCGGGAGTCCAATATACGGATGCACCAGTCCCATACTTTTGCATTGGAAATGCAAGGGAATATTTCAAGTGTTCTATATAGCCAATAATTCAATACATTCAAGTTTGATATATCCGGGATCGACTGTAGATGCCAAAGGATGCTTCATATTTATATTTTTTCCTTGCATACACTTTTCAGCATATTCGATGCTATGTTGTTAAAACATGCAAAGAAGGAGGTCTTGATTACACAAGACTCATTCAGTATTAAAAGTTTAAAAAAGGAATTTTTGGGCCATCGCAAACGGTGAGCTCCTTTAAAGGGACACTAAAGGCAAATGATAATTTATGTAAGAGGGCAAGTTGAGTGCATGACGTCTAAAACGGCGATATTATTGACAGCAGTGCCTTACTTACCAAAAAATTAAGCTAAATGTATCACACGATGAGCGCCACGACTGGTACTTTTGCAAAATAATCCTGATGACACGAGGGCGCCCAACTACAATTAATCACTAGTAATCAAGCTAGCTGCAATAAAAAACTTTCCGTGCATCAAGAAATGTAATAAAATACACCTTGTCTATTTCTGTTTGATTTATAGAAAGAATAACCACCTAGCATTACTATGTACTATAGAGAATGGCATGAGTGATTAAAAAATTCAATTTTCAGCTGCTTAGGCTGGATAGGTAATGCCATCTAGCGGGGCCCAGTGGAACCAAGCACGCAAAATCATGGCTGGCCTTCGAGATTGCAGAACATTGTTCAATGGCTATTGTTGCTGCTGTGGCTCCCGCTACTTTTGCTCTACTGCTACTGGTGTCGGCAGTCGCATAATAAATGCAGGCAACGGTGGCCATGGAAACAGTGACGTCTAAAAGACCACTTTCATGCGGGTGATTTGAAGTGTGCTGAAGAGACGTGGACCGCTAAAACATCATTTTATATCAAAATAAGCACTTCCTTGGCACAATAATAGCACTACGAGGTTTCTGAACAGGTATTTCAACAATTTCGACTTAATTTTTGCCTTAGTGCCCCTTTAAAAACACAGTCAACAAAAGTGCAAATAAGCTTTTTTAATGAGTATATAGCACATGGCATATAATAATAATAATATGCGCATGGTCGAGCCTTACAACAATTGCAACAAAGTCTGCAAAGTAATCAAAATTCGACATCTACTAAAATGCCACGTGTATTGAAATCACAAAGAGGATTGGATAATTAGAAATATACAATACAAAAATACAAAACGTAAGTGCAAGTATCTTTCATGGGGCATCGTAAAAGATGTCACAACAGTTTGACATGGCTTTTACTTTCATATATGCATCCTATTCCTTATATACAGCTCATATATCTCTATGTTTAGTTGGATAGAAGTGCACCTTACCTTTGCGCAGGTTGGACATGTGTAACCGCCATCCTCACGATGAATGCCGACGTGCTCTTTCAGGGCAGTGACGACGTGGAATTTCTCTTTGCAGATCGGGCACTCAAAGTACCGCTCCTTTCTGTTTCAGCACAGAAGAAAAAAGCAAAAGAATGGCTGAGCCGCAACACCCCGTGCAGCACCGTTTAAATAACACTCAACAGCCATCGCAAGCGAGGGAGCAGCTGATGCCTATTAACCCTTTTATGACCTCTAACGAGTACAGTCATCTTGAAATTTTTCTAAAAAAATGACCGATGACGACTGTATTCGTCAGATTCGATAATACACTTGATGATTTGCAGCTTTGTTCACAACACAACCCTTTATTCTTCGTGCCACATATATCCAACATGTCCGGCCCCTTGCGCCCTACCCGCGTGCCTCTTCCCACGTACTCCAGTGCACAAACATGTGCCCCCATGTTCACTCAATACTCGTGCCATCTTGTTCATGTGCTGTCAGCCACGCACAGCCTGTGAGACCTGCACCCAACACACACACATTCCTCATTCCATTTCATCTCTCACACTGTCATCAACAAAAATTAGGCTTCTGCCAAAAATGAATTTTAGGTTCAAAGCAAACTCGTAGTGAATGGTGATTTTGGTTGAACAATTTTGAATCAAATTCAAATAGTACAACTATTGCACATTACTAAAAACAAGAACATATTTGTCACGACCTAATCAACCTTGTCATGCAGTTCTATCCGCAGTGTATAGTCGATTACGATCAACATTTTCCTGGAAGTTCATTGAAGCTTGGTTAGGGTTCAATCCTACCTATTTCAGAATTTTGGCTCAGGATACTACTATCATTGAATGCAAGTGCAATATCCAATGTTGCAATCCTCAAGACTCCGAACCTATATAAAGGGAACGATGACAGCAATGCAATTACGCAACACTTGAACGGGGCCCGTTTTCACACACTATTCAGTCTAACCGCATCACAATAATAGTAATACACACTAGAGCATATTCATGGTCACCCTGCATGCGATTTGCCTCGAAGGACGCAAGAAGGCCATGAGTTTCCACGATGAAGAGCTTGCTGGTTCAGCGGTACTGCGAATATAAAGGCACACGGTGTCTTTAGACTGGCTTAAAAGTTATCTGATAATTTCCTATACGCAGCTGACTATAAGTAAGCATTTTGGCTTTCGGACATGGAGGTAGTTTTTTTTTTAAAGAAAAGTGAACCCTAAGCACGAAGCGCATATGAGTGCTTTGCTGCGCATGCGAGTGCCTTGCCCTTGGGTGCATTTTCCCTGACTACTACCTATGAGAAATATAGTGTTTTCAGCCACAAAAGATACCGTAAGAAAAGTACACATGTGAAAATGTGCACAAAAAAATGCCCTTTCAAAATTGCAAAAAAATTTTTTTTTTGCGTGTTTTGACCTTGCTATGTACCTCTCACCCAAAAAACATGTCAACAACATAATATCAGTACTGCATTAGCAGTGGGCCGTATTGTACTCCATAAGGGGGAAACTCACCTGTGCGTTTTGAGGTGTTCTGTCCGAGCTGAGGTAGTCAGGAAGCGCTTGTCGCACATGTCGCACTTCAATGGTTTGGCCTCCTCGTTGCCGTGCACCTGGTAATGCTTGGACAAGCGGTACTCAGTGGCAAAGCTCTTGTAGCAGAGGCCGCACTTGTAGACCCGCTGTGGCGCAGGAGCACCGGCTGAAGCCCTTTCGTTTTCTCTTTCACTGGCTGTCGTCTTCACCGCTGCTTCCGACGACTGCTTGTTGCGTTTTGGGGGGCCACGTTTGCCGTGCACTCCAACATGCCTCATCAAAGCTCCTCGTGATTCAAAATCCTGCAAACGTCATGCTGCTCTGGTGACAGTAAAAAATCACAGCAAGAAGTGTTGTGACTTCAACAACATCACCTGTTAAAACGACACACAAAAGAAAACAAGACTTGTACTGTAGAAGATTGATCATTGTCAACTATTCCATGTAGCAATCTCAATAACACAGGTATATTCTTGTGCATAACCCCCATAAAAATAGTACAGAAAAATCTACAGCTAGAGTCAGGGTGCGGGCTCTGTGTGAACTTTTCGAAATACTCCAGAAGTTTTCTGCAGTTGGTAGTTAGAAGTGCCGGTTTAACGCCGAGGTGGGCTGTATGCGATAAAATACCATAAACTTTCGTTATGCTAACATATGCCCAAAGAATGAGATACATTGATAGATGTACACTGTCGTTCTTAATGAAAGAGAACACAAAATCGCGTGACCTGCTCTTCACAACAGCTGGCTGCCTACAGTATCTTACAGCGCTTGTCCAGCGGACATAACTTGTTGTTTTGCTTGCCAAATGATGACACCAAAACCCACTGTCTTTTTTTTTTTTTTTTTTTCTGTCGGTTGATGACGGTCCTGTAGGCAGACACCACAGAGTGCAGGCCACGCACTCATGAGTTCCCTTTCATAAAGAACGACAGTGTACATCTGCTTTAGTTGCTTAACCACCATGTACACGAACTGCTAAGCATGTGGCTGTCGGATCACTTTGTGACCGCATTTACATGGGCGCAAAGTGCAAGAAGTCCTGCAAATACAGTGAAACCTTGTTAATTCAATGTCACCGGGGCCATAAGAAATCTTCGAATTAAGCAAGTTTTTAAATTAAACGAACATACAAAAAGTGAGATGCAAGGGACTTGAAATTATTTGAAGTTATCGGGGCTAGCGGTTCGCTGTGCCGGCTAGTTTGCAGCTCTAAGGGTCATGCTTTCCAGCAATGTCTGGTCCCAATTTCGCCGCAAACACCGGGAAATGACAGACCTTGCTGCTGTGACCAAAAATACGGGTTGTTGTGATTAACTGAAATGTATGCCTGCAAACCAGCACATCTTCACTGCAACAAAGTAGGGACACACAGGCAGCATGTCGCCTGCTCCTTGCTGCGTCAGCAAATCCTGATGCGGCCATTCTTTCTGGTAAAATAAAGAATTGAATAACAATCAGTGTGACGAAATTTGCGACGTGTTTTGGCTAGAAAACATGACCATTGAAACTTTCAAACTTGGTTTTCCAAGCAGGCGTTTCCAAGCAGGTTTTCCAAGCAGGCGAAAACTCCGCCAGCAGAGCAAATGCACAAATCGCTGGAGCAACCGCAATCGGAGGTTCGCATACATCACGAATAAGGCCAAACTGTCCTTTATTAATTTCTTTACAATTACAGAAAGAGTGAATTATGACGATGATGATGATGATGATGACGAACTTCATTTATGTATAGGCAAAGGAATCTCCTGTGGGTTGCTGATAGTCGGGGCCCTTAGTCCAGGCCACTGGCTTTTACCATCCGCTCTGCTCTCTAGATGAGTGTGATCTGGTCGTCGAGGGCTGAGCTGAACAATGGTGCCTCCCATTGCTAACCTGTGATGTCCATGTTGTGGTGTACGAGGCTGTGTAGTGTGTACTCCCACCTAATGCGATACAGAGTTGGTGTGGCTCCACATTATGGGCATTCAATTTTGCAAGATGTGGGGTGCATGTGATGTAGTGTGTGTAGATTTTTGTAGGTTCCTGTTTGGAGTCTGCGCCAGGCAATGGTCTCCTTCGTTGTAAGCTCTTGGTGAGGTAGTGGATACCATAGGCATTGCCCTGTGTGGTAATTCAATATTGCGACATACTGGAGGTCAACTGGCTGATGTTCCGAGAAACATGTGATATGCTGCCCGCATGTCACCAATGTGCTGCAGTGCAGCACGTCTTGTTTTTCACAGGTGCACATTTTGGTTGACCTTGAGACCTTTTTATTATTATTTTTAATTTTTTGTGCTGGAAGTAGCAAGACTGGGGTGCCTCAGTTGTCACTCATTAGTATCACTGAAATGTCACGCCTTGTTGCTTTTAAGGGCCGTCATTTCTGTGAACTTGCGGCGAAATCAAAATCGGGAATTGGCACAAGGCACCAAATGTTTTTGAATTATCGTAATAACGAGAATATAGGTCCAACCGGAATATAAGTCTAATCCCCCCCTCCCAGCTTCGAATTTCCAAAAAAATTAATTTTCAAAAATCACAAAGTCTCCTTGTGCACCCTAACCTTGATAAATACGTGACACAACCAGCTGCACTGTGGTCGCGTTTCTTTTTATTCCGACACTAGTCTTATGTAGTTAAACTCCAGAAGGCCACAAAATGCTGTCACTCAGACTTGTTCAAACTTGAGCCCTACGACATCTGTTTCTCACTGGTTACGTCGCAGAGTGCATCGTCCTTCATTCTATCCAATGCATTTCTGATGCAGCATTTGCAGAGAGACTTGCACACCCTTTCTCCCGGGAGAGACTTCCATGCTGAAAACACTCAGCCACGAACAGTCGCGAGTGGTGGACGTCGTAGGCGGCAAATGGGGGTCTTGGGATTGTCGGCCACATAAAGTTTCTCACAAATACCTAGAGAGAAGTGTGGCGCCACCATCTATGCGAATTTCTTAAGGAGCGATGTTGGAGCGCTGGGAATGATGGTATATGTCTGCGAGGCTTGTGTTGGCTGGTGTTGAGCGAGGCTTCGGCTCAAAAGTGAGTACGACTGCATAAATAAAGCTTCTCTAAAACGAAGCGTTCAGAAGCGAATCTCATTGATGGGTAATATATTTTAAAATAAATGTACACTCACTTTGACGGCACAACCAAACGGCGAAGGAAAGAAGCAGACGACATAAACGTGGCAGAAAGAACGCTCGCTTTGTCATCTGCCTGTTAAGTTTAGCGGCCCTTGGTTACTTCTTACGCTTCGTAAAATTGTACATCAACGTAGAAGACTCTAGTGTTAAATACAACACGTTTTTGCATAATGACAAAAATAAATAGCTTATCACATGCTCTTTTAGTAAGAAATCAATCATTTTAATGTGAAGCCAGAGACCGTCTTCGAGGTATACAAATACGGATCAAGATCGAAGCTCACGTATCCCGTTATTCCGTTGGATCCAGCAGCTCACTAGTGCCAGATTTCCCTCTAGGTATGATTGTGAGAAACTCTATGGTCGCCCAGCATCCACTCATTGTAGAGCTTGCACATGCTATCTTTGAAGGGATTATTGAGCACTACGTCTAATGGCTGCAAGATTGATGTTAGTCCCTCAGGGACCACGACAAGCTCCATCTTGCCGTTGGACAGAGCTCCCTTTACATCCACCGTGAGGTGGCCTCGAATTGAGTGAAGCCCCACCATGCTCGGTCGCTGAAAAAACGCGCTGGGCCGCCAATTCCACACGAGCCAGATCTACTTAAGCATGAGGGACTCATTCATGAACTCTTTTTCGTTCGCTCTCACGATAACATCCTAGGGAAAGTCTTCTTTTGGCAGCCATTTTCTCTTGAATATGATATAAGAGGACAACTTCTTGCCATCGGCATTTGTCATGAGTAAGCAGGCATGAGGCACATGCCAGGAGCTTGAATGTGGCGTTCATGCTCGAGACCCCCGATAGTGCCCTCAAGCGCCACATTCATGTACAAGATTGGAAAAGTAGGCTCGTGGCACGCGACCCAAGCTGTAATGGGAAATCCCAAAGAATGAGCTGTCACTGTGCATTGGGGCTTCGAACTGCGAAAATCAGGAAGGTCAGTGTCGCTACTTGGATGGAAGCAGTAGAACCACCCGGTTCTGAAGCTGTCGGTAAAGCTGCCCAAACTTGGCGCTACCTTTCACTGCCCTTCCCGATGGGCCTACAGCTCTTCCGCTTCGAGTTGGAACGGATGCGGCCCGCAGTGCAGTCAAGGCGCCGTTGATGAGTTAGGTGTAGCCTAACTGAGCCTGAGAAGACGACGAAGACTGAAACCAACCGGCAATGAGGTGGAGTAGCTCGTTCGACGAAAGAGGACGCCGTCTGTAGGAACTGGTGGAGCACCGAATTCCTGTTGTGCCGCCAGGTTGCAATGCGCTTCGGCATACTCGATAACTTTTTAATTCAAGGCTATCATAAACGGCTGTTGGCTACCACTCATTTCTGAAGGAAATAGAAAAAAAAAAACAGCAGACTGACAAAGATAATGAAAGCAAAATGACGTTGATAGTAGGCTGTAGGCCTTGTCTAGCCTTGCCCAACGGCACTGCTGCTGATGCTCATGATGGCAATGGAGGCTTATGACTTCGGCTGCGCATTGTTGCGAGACTTCTACATCTTTTTTCTGCCAATGACGGGTACATAAGATTAGGATCAACTTTTCATTGTGTCTAAAAAAAAAATCCCACCTATATTCCGGTTTTTATGGCAACCGGACTGGTGCTGACCGCAGCTTCATATTATCCACTCAGACTAACATTTAACCTACGAGACTACGGAAATATTTCGAACTTAGCGGGATTTCAATATAACCAAGTTTGAATTAATAAGATTTCACTGCAATAACAAAACTTCATTCAATATTCGAATTATTATGAACAAAAATTCTTTTTCCAAATCAAAAACTTGCTTTTTTATAATGTAAATATTTTTATAATGTAAAATTTTCAATATAAACATTGAAAGAAAAAATATATATATACATATGTATATATATAAATATAATGCAAATAGTCAATAGAAGCACCGAGAAACAAAATGTAAAAATAATAATAAATAACTGTTTTACAAAGATAAAATTTTAAAGTATAAGAACACTTGAAAGGTTAGAACTGCCAGCATCAGCAATAAAAAGTATATAGTCGACCAGGCAGAATGTTGGCTCTTGGCTTGAAGAATTTCCTGACTTTCACATACCAGTTAGAAAATACTTATGTGAATTGAATGTGCTTACGAAGTGCTGCCTCTGCAGGTCACTAATCGCACAAATGCAATGCTGTGAGCCACGGCGTGTTCTAAGCACTGCTGCTGCATGCATTTCTTACTGTTTGTATACTCCTGATGGGCGTAAGTGAGGTGCAAAGACATCGTTAAATCTAAGATGCAATGCAAGTTTTTTTCTCTACATCAGTAAATGTGCTAACGAGGATAAAATAGGACTGAGTCACACTGGTTGTGATCGATCACAGAATCCAGTGATTTCGTACGAACCAGTTTAGAGACTCCTGGTCTATAATGCACGAGAAGAGGCAACTATTGCGCATGAGGAAATAATGATCTCAGTGTCGTGTCCAACGCCAAGAAATTTTGTTCAGCAGCCTTAAATTTTTGACAGAAGGCGTGAAAAAAAAATAGAAGCTACAATATCGAGTTATGTTCGAATACACTCAACCTGTAGAGGACACTCTCTAAAGTAGATTAAGTGCATCACTTACTAAACAACACTCAGGGCACTGTTCGAGCTGATAATCAGATGTTGGCTGCGTGGCTGTCACGACGGCGTGCAGAGGCAAATGCAGGCTCAACAGCTCAGAGCTGGGAAACATAAAAGGGCAGTGCGGACAGGTCCACACATAGGTCTCTGACTGGGATCCACTGCGTCGAGCCGACTTGCGAATGCCGTCACTCTGCAGTGACCCCAAGGGCTGCTGTTGTTGCTGCTGCTGATGCTGCTGCTGCTGAGTTTGCTGTGCTTGCTGCTGCTGTCTCCGCTGCTTGAGTCGCTCATCTTGTTGCTGGTGTCGAAGGATGTGCCTGTTTGTGAAAAGGAGAAATGAATGAAACAATGAAGTAGAGAATTCATTTTTAACAACAACAAAAGCAAGCGAGTCAATGAATTGACGAGCTAAGCAAGCTGCCAGAGCCAGGAAGTGATTGGCATTTCACAGGCCAAAGACATAACTCTATACAAGCTACGTCACACAGTGAAAAATATTTACGTCAATCATGATTCACAGGACTGGTACATACGACATTTGCTCACACAACAATTACAGCCCTGAATTCCGCCACCGAAAATCAACTTTTTCTCTCTTTCTCGTAATAATCACATCCTGAACATTTCTATCACGCAATAACAATTTCTATCACTAGCAATAGCAATTTCGCGATTTCTATCACCAAGTGTAACTCGTGCATAGGAACATGAGTAGGTATATGCCTTTAATACAAAAGCAGACCTTGCTCAGTTTGATTCTTTGGTTGTGACAATGGTAGCCATCGCGATAATTTTTATCTGCAACTTGATTCTTATGGTGAACATATTACCCCAGATAATGATAGCACCCTTCTCATGGTAGGGGAGGTTCACCAAACAACAAGTGCAATCACAAAAGTACATGCAGAACTTTTTTTTTTTTTGCAGAGCACATTTCTTGACATGCAACTGAAAAAATCCAGCCAGTTTCACTTTGCAAACACTGTTGAAACAGCGAAGCTTATGCTCACCCTTTATCAGGCTATATTGTACTTCCATATCATTCAAGACTTTCGTTCGTACCTCAATTAGGTCTCAGACTATGAGAAAATAAGTGAAGTCTCATTAGGTGATTCCTTATAGGTGATTAAGGCACTTTCTCTCGATATTTCTTTGGTTCAGTTTAAGATGCAGCTACATACAGCCAAATACCTGCCATGTGGAGCTATGCTATTTATATTGATACTGATATACATCGTCATATAATTTTCAATTGTGTTGATGCTCCACAATTTTGAAGTGTTTTTTGCTCATATTTTTGTTCACGAAATTTTATATGTTCAACTTAGCCATAAAAAAATAGCATAGCTCCACAGTTTGTTTCCTTACGAGTTCAACGGTATAACGTTTATTAAACTTGGCTCATAATAAGATAACGAAAATATCTGTTATGCTAGTCAACCTGGCGAAAATGCGAAGCTAAGAAAATTGCATTTTCTCAGCGCGAAAACAAATTTCGTTATTTTGGGGGCACTTTACTGCTGCTGGAGTGCTTTGAAGGCCCATTTTATCACATTTCCCGACCGAAGTTAGTATTAGTAATTTGGTACAAACGCCCAAAAGATAGGTTTTGCAAAACATCCATTTTTTGGCCATTTTTGATCGCTCCAAGCTTCGCGTCCCCCCCTCAAAGGCTTAACTGCGCTAATGTAAACAGACACAGAGAAAGTAACAGACAGCACATGCTATCTATTACTTTGTCTGTGTCCTTGTTTGTATAAGCGCAGTTAAACCTTCAGGACTGACGCATGAATATCGTAGCTGGCTTGACAACGAATGCCCATTCTCGTGTCAACTCTCCCTGACGCTAACGCCGGGTGCCTTTTTCATTGGGAGAATGAGAATGCGAGATGTCGACACATCTAGTGATAGCCTCGGGACGATACTCCAAATGTGGTTGCTAGCTCGGTCACTTCACGCCAACTGTCCCAACCAGGACACTCGTCAAAAATCGATTCCAGTCAAATAGATTAAGAAAAGTACGCACATATAGGCATTATTTCTAAAGTGTTTTCCCAAAAGATTTTGACAGGTTTGAAATTCATGAAATGATAAAAAACCAGGTACAAAAAGAAAATTCCCTACAAATTGACAGTTTTGCGCAATCTTTCAATACTTGTTTTTCTTTTTTTGCACTAAGAGCAACATGCTTTCATTAAAAAACAGTTTCATTTCATTAAAAAATAGTTGCTCATGATAGCTTCAAAACTTTCACATTTTAAAGTGTAGACAAAATTGGATGAATTGTGGTGTTTTCAAAAATTTTTCTACAAAACACAACCATCGATAGAGACCATCAAACTTTCTTTAAAACATACTATTTTCAAATATGATTTTTTTTTGCCACTAAGTGGCGCGTTAACTCCTAAATGAAATCCCGAACTCAGCAAAAACACCACTTTGGTCTTAAGTTGAGACGTCTGTAACACCCTAAGGTGGTCTAAGAAAAAATAAGGAGAAAAGCGCATACGATTGAAAATCAAAGCGACTTTGTTCACAGAAAGTTCAATAGAAGTCAATTTCGCTTTAGTAGAGAAAAAAGTCACAGCTTTGCCGCAAAGGCGAATCAATGAACACGATAGCAACAAATTGGAAGGTCACGTGCAGAATGGAAAGCAGATCGAAATGTGCCCCGCATTTCTCACGCAAAAATGACGCTCGAAATGTACCGTATTTACTCGCGTAATCCTCGCACTCGCGTAACTCTCGTACCCCCTACATCGCCCAACAAAAATACGATTTCTTTTCTACCTCGAGTAATTATCGCACCCCCGTAAGCTGCTGCAATAATGTCGTCTGCTAGTTCCAGCCACTGATGATGATAGTGCACACCATCTCTTAAGCATCAAGCGTACTATTGCATGGAAACTCGATTCAATTCAAGCCAAGCCGAAGTGGCCAGTGCGCATTGCGGCGTGTTTTGTATGTTGCGTCAGTAACCTTGTCAAGTTATGAGGCGATACTGAAGCTGTACGGCTGCTTTTAAGTTGCAAGTGATGGATCATGCACTAAACAATGGCAATAGGGCCGCCAGTAGGCCCTTCGGAGTCTACGAGTTTTGTGTTCGCTACTGGTGATGGCTGCTGAAAGCCACACAGACGCGTTAAGCCTGCCGTGTGCCTAAAACTGGGATTGATGGTAAACTTTATTCCTTAAGAAGGAAACTGCGGACAATTCTGTTAAATAGCCATCAGCCCAATAGTGACGTTCCACGCTTACCTTTTGAGGGCTCCTGTTGAACGACGAACGCTACCACTACGCCCGCAACGTCCGCAAGCTTTGCGTATAATATTCTAATTCTTGGCTATTTGCTTCCACTTTTTGTGTCTAAAATAAATCTTGTCTTGTGTTGAACCTCTGCTGTTATTGTTGAGGTAAGTTTTAATTAGTACTTCATAAAGCTTGATGTTAATTGCTGGTGTGAGAATCCTGATTTGTGGCCACTTCGTTTTCTTTTTTGCTCTGTACGATTTCGTAGAAAGTTTTCCCCGCGTAATTCTCGCACCCCCCAACTTTTCATTGGTTTTCCGGCAAAAAAAAAAAAAAAGTGCGAGGATTACGCGAGTAAATACGGTACTCACAGGTACGGATGCATGCGAATAAGCACCTCAATTGTTACTTCGCTGTGTCTGAAAAGCGCGCGCTTTTTGCAAACAGAAACTGAAATGATTGCAGTGACCGTCATGCGCCCGGTAACTACAGCAGAATTGTTCCAGGTAAAGCCCGAGGCCAGCCAAGACGTACGATCCTCTCCTCCTCTCCATCGCAAGATAAAAGCACGTGAGGGAGCGTTGCTCCCCTCCTCTCAGCTGGGCAAAGTACGCCTGGGAGATTAGAGCACACGTCGCCGTGCGATGTGGCAACATTGTGCCATCTTGCTGGTAATGCTGAAAACACGATGATTGCCCCCGAGATGCCCGTGAGCAGTGGTAAGGGGTAGATATAAGTAGCTTGCCATTTGAACAGTGAAGGACGTTCTCCTCGGTGGCTCAGTTGTTAACGCCTCACACTCACGATTGAGAGAAACCAAGTTCGATTCCACTCGCAGAAGTCTTTTTCAGTTTTTTTTTTCCTTTCTTGCATTTTCATATATGTATAGATACATATACATATACGGTGATATGTATATATATATACATATACGGTGATTGATGTCGACACCAAGAGTGTCCATATGATTGCTATCGCAATAAAGCGTTTTTTAAGTAAAGTCCCACCATTGCATTGTTTTAATATGGGGCCAATACAAGCCAACTGAATTTACTGCATAAAAAAGGGTGGCAGTGCATTTACGATACATGGTTCAAAGTCCTTCTTATTAGTACTCTCTTTTGCATACTACATACCGAATGACAATAAACAGTGCTAAAAATATAACAATGCGAATTAAATATATGCCACTATGCTCCCTATAATGGCTAAGTGAGGTAGATGTCTGACACACGACACACTCATGACACACGAAATACGATGAGATGTCACTTGCAACAGACCTTTTTCTATTGTAGGGATGGGAGAAACGTAGATCGCACAGCGAGCACTTGTACTTCTTCTCGCTAGAGTGCATCATGAGGTGACGCTTGAGGTCGTACTTCCTCCGAAACTCCTTGTGGCACAGATTGCACTTGTTTTCATTGCCCGATGCAGGCTGCACAAAAATAAGCAGCGGTGTCATAGAGTTTACAGAGGTGATTAGTCTCCAATGAGAAGTTTCTCCACCTCTCTGATGAACAGGATACGGCTACACAATGAGCACGGTTCTTACAGGAGATCGGCATTCGTTCAATGTGAATAGAATACAGTCGAGCCTGCACTCGTACATTTAGCCAACTGAAGAATAACTATAGCTTAATGAACAAAACTCGCACAGCCTTCAGAATATACATTATTTTAATGGCACAAAATCGTACATGCAACAAAAATCTTCAAGCCCTGCCAATCAGTTACAGCAACTGATTGGTGGGGCATCTACCAACTGAAACAATAGTGCCTTTATCAGCCAATTTTTTCTGCTTCCTGGCAGTGCGGGATGCAAGCATACTGTGATTTATTAACATTTAGTTAGTAAACATTGCGTAGTTGCAATGAAAGACACAAAGTCCTTATTTTTAATGCCTGCCCTGAGAGCATAACATTTGTGAAATAAATGCATGCTTTATTCACATTGTTTTTCATGCATTCCACGTGCTTGAATCGAAATTGCAAGAATTGAAAGCAGCGAGATGAAAGGACCGTCAAAGTGGTGACCCTCAAAGGGAACAGAAAAAAAGGACTTAATTCACTAGAAAAAGCAGTACTTGTAGTGAAGGGACACTCAGACTTGCTGTCAGGTTTATATGGGCACAAAATGGTTCACCTTTAGACAAAGCGAATGGATAGAAGTAATCTTACGAGATCATGAGTTAACAATGAATGCAATGGATCTAGATAGCGGCAACACTTTAGAGTGACCTTTCTACTGCCATTTTTGAATTTTTATGAAATGTTTGCTCGCAGCATTGAGGTATCCCTGCTCATTTTCAGTCCCACGAAAAGTTTATTCACAAGCCAACAATTGAAACAGTTTCATAACCAGAATATAGTTAAAGTGCATCTTGCTAAGACAATACAAAATTTATCAGCCAGAGTTGTTAAACTTTCCAAAAAATTAAAGAAATTGAGCAAGTATGTTAATGCCTCGGTAAGTGCTCTGAAAAATGTGCACTCTACTGACCAATGATTGATGTTCTACACTGACTGATATTGAATGCCGTTCCAAAAATGTTTAGAGATTTTCACACACACACAAAAAAAGTTAAAAATGTTGAAGTTAATGCCTTGGAAACTCACCTTGGCTATCTCCTGAACAGGGTTTGGTGGGTTTGTAGTTCCACTGCTTTGATCAGTGGGAACACTTTCATTACCGAGACTATGCATCTCCTATAGGCAGAAAAAAAGAAAAGCATTCATACGAACCAGTTTATAGCAGCATTGAGTATATGCTGTCTTTGTCTGTACAAACTAGAATAAGCACTTCTGAACTCAAATGTTCTACCTTTCTTGTTTTTCAGGATAAGGAAAGGTACTTGTGAAATCAAAAAAGAACACGGATCCATAAATGTTCACAGTGTAGTAAAAAATGTTGCAGTTACAGAATCTGGTTAATGCTACAAATACTGCTCTCCCGCGTTTTGTAGCAAACTGATGATGCCTCGATGACAAGCCTGTCATAGCCTTGTCCATTCACAAGCCCCACCGCGGTGGTCCAGTGGCTAAGGTACTCGGCTGCTGACCCGCAGGTCGCGGGATCGAATCCCGGCTGCAGCGGCTCCATTTTCGATGGAGGCAGAAATGTTGTAGGCCCGTGTGCTCAGATTGGGTGCACGTTAAAGAACCCCAGGTGGTCAAAATTTCTGGAGCCCTCCACTACAGCGTCTCTCATAATCATATGGTGGTTTTGGGACGTTAAACGCCACATATCAATTGATTGTCCACTCACAAGCACCAAAAGCTGGCTTATTTCAGTTACATGCAGCAAATAGTATACATATCTATCTCAGCCTGCGCCTACCTGAATAGACAACTTCAACAGTAATACAGACAAGGCAATGCGCCGTAAAAAGGCTGATGATTGATAGGCGAAGCACCCTCGCATCACTGCAGCCAGTGGAAAAAAAAAAGATAGAAACAGAGCAAGAAACAGTCTATAATACGCCTCATGAAGCTGAAATACATGCCTCCAGTGAAGATGCGCAACTGCGCAACACAGTGGCAACATGTGGGCAGCGTGTCGTGTGCTCCTTGCATATAGCCAGTGTATCGTGATGCAATCGTAACACTATTTCTTCTTAAAAAACTGGGAAAAATTGTGAGAGATGGCTTCGTGGAATTTACAATGTATGCGAACCACCAAATGGCTGTTGCTCGAACTACATGTACTCTGATGCTGCTGGTGGTGTGCTTACCTGCAACGCCTACTTCAAAAACCTGGCTCATGAACTTCAAGGTTCTCTAGCCGGAACACACAGCAAATTCAGTCAGATTAGCCTGTATTATTTTCTTTTCTTTCCCAGGATGAGGGCATGGTTGCACCACAACACACTGACGATTTGTTGATGGTGTGTTGCAGTGAAGCATATCTATCCTACAGGCACGCACGTCAGCTGACCATGAACCATAAAAATTAGGCCTCGTTTTTCATTACTACTATTATAAGTTTTTTTTTTAAGTGCGAATGTGTGCTGGCAATAACTAGTTTGAGCAGCTTCATCTATACATCATGACACTGCCAGGTGGCATTGCGTAATGGCTTCAAAAAGCCACTGTTTCCCTCAGTTTGCGGCAGCATGGGGATCAGGCAGTGCCAGAAAACTTGGAACCTTGGAACCACAATATACGAAACATGGCCGACTGGCATCTCCGATTACAGACAGTAGTCCCTGTTCCCTCGATCCTGTTTTTCTTAGGTTCTGTTAATTCGAACATCCACTTAATTAGATGATTTTCAAGATCTCGATCTCCAAATAACGAGCTTACACTGTTCTGCACAGCCACTGCCTACCACTTCCATCTTATGGGGGGGATGGGGGGATGAGGTGCATGGTTGCATGCCATTTATGAAGCATAAAGGATAAAGCTTAGTGCAACTCTTAAATGTCACTGCTTGTGTCATTACCTTTTTTCGTTCCAATAACATTCTTTGTCTTTCTTCCAAAATTAATGAGGCATTTCTTTTTTTTTTGCTTACGCTTTACGCACTATGCATAGAAGATGCACATCTAAGTGACAAAAGTAACAGCACACACTCTTCTACTACAATATAGATAAAATTCTTTTTATGCGCCATATATATGCCTAGGCAATCCTGCGGTTGTTCACTTTGAGTCAGCAATGCTAAATCCAAATTCTCCTGCAGCAATACAAATTTGGCTGTGATTGAGAGACTGCACATCATGAAGCTTTTCCTGCGGCATTTGAAAAAGGAGATTCTGTGGCCTATGATGTCATTGTGGTGCGTGGATGTGTGAATGCAATTAGCAATGGGATGCACTAGTATGTTGCTTGCGTGCTAACCACAGAAACTTGGTTTCAGGCCAATTTATTCATTGCTCTTGCCAACAAAGCTTTAATTTCTCTGCGCCAACAAACTCACTTCTACCTTCCCAGCCAACGGGACGTCTGCTGCTACCCTGATCTGCCAGTGCATTGACCACAGCCATCTACCAGAGCACTGCAGAGCCCCAAGACAAAACCAGCTTGTCCAAGGCTGTGAGAAAACGGCAAAGGCTGTGAGAAAACGACAAGAGCTCACCTCTAGAGGTGCTCTTGCAGCATGTTGCTTCTTAGGTGGTTGTCCTCGTGCCCTCAATGACAGTGAACTAGCTTCCACATTGACGTGGTCCGCCAATGTCGCAGACACGGGCGACGGCTGCACAGGTGCGGCAACCGATGCGTTCTCACCGCTGCCGTCAGGAACTTTTTCGTGCTGGTTCAGATGCAACTGCAGCTGCTCCGATGAGTTAAATGCACTGCTGCATTTGAAGCATGGCCAAATCTCATCCCTGACACCTGGAACAAGACAGAGTGGAGTAGGTATGCCTGGCAGAGGTCAGGTCCCTCATTTACGAATCACAAGACAGCACGCAAAATGATAGATAAGCCGCAGATCTGTTCAAAGACCATGCAATTTAGCATAGATTTTCCTCACTGAATGGCTACTCAACATACATCTGAGGCAATATCCAAGGTCAGATAGTTGTGCCGCCACGGTGTACGATGGTTATGGTGCACAGCTACTGACCCATAAGTCGCAGCAGGTTAGATTCCAGCCACAACGGTTTCGAATTCGGTGGAGGCAACATGCTACAGGCCCGAAAACCTAGATTTAGGGGGACAGTACAACATGCTCGCTTTCCAATGCTCCCATCCACGATGTAGGCGCCACACACTTGTGGAGTTGCAGAGGCCTGCAAGTAGGCTATCTTCACCAGCTCCATGACACAGAGCTCAGGACTGGTCGACCACCTGACCTCGTTTGCTGGATCCATGGAAGTTATCCCTGTTCACTGTGAGACTTTACACATGAAGCAAATTTATATGAGCATTTCAATACCATGAATTACTATGCTAAAGAGCAGGCTTTCAAAATTTCAAAAGATGATAATAATGTGCAGCTTTCCACTACGGCGTGCCTCATAATCATGTACAGTTAAACTTACCTATAATGAACCTCCACATAACGAATTCCACAATATAACGAAGTTTTTCTATTCTTCCCCGTTACTCCATAGAAGCACATGTATTCACGATCTCTATGAAACAAAGCAACAGCGGGAGACATCCTTGATTTAACAAATTTTCCCCTCGGACAACCTAGGAATGTTGTACCGAATTTCGTCATTTTGGCACAAGCATGCATCTTGTGCGGTTGCCCCACTGCCAACGAAGCGGCAGCGGCATGCACAACCTGCTCATGGCCTCGGCAACTCCAAAGCGAGAGCGAGCGCTCATTATTGCACGAGAGGGTGTGTGAACCGGGCATGTGCCCCTCGAGCCAGTGATGCCGCATTTGTTTCCGCCCCGAGTGCATGCTCGGATGTGCCCTCGCCCTACCTTTCAACCAAAAATAATAATAATAATAAAAAAACTACTTTTGCATCGGCAATGCCACTCTTCAATTGCTGTAGAAGTCTCTGAACTGCACTTCCAGTGACACAGCTGATGGCACTTTGCGTTGTTACGCTTTTGGTTAGTAGAATCACATATGTGGGGCCGCGCTGCATAAGAGGAGTGCTTACGAAGCTGTGCACACGTGCATGGTCTTACTGTGCGCGCATGAAGTGGCGCCCGACGACGATAAGCTTTTTTTTTCTTTTCTAATGCCGACAGCCTTGTCGTTACTACCGACGAGATGTCAGATTAGGTGATGATGGAAGCTCTCCGAGACCACGGTGACGACGAATCTTCGGAGGTTGACTCGTCACGCGCTTTGCCATCTTGCACCCTTCCGTGAGTTCGCTGGACAGTAGCCTTTGCGATTAGTAAATTATCCCTGGCAACAAAACAGGGCTTTGAATGCAATGCAATCAATGCGGTAGCAACAAATTGTAATGCTACAAGAAGTAAGACTGGAAGCCAACTCTTTTGGAACCGATATTGCAGAACTCTAACAAAATACTGATGTAAGCACAGAAGTGCTCTTTTCAGCCAGCCTCTTCATGTTGAAAGCAGACTGATGCTTGCCGAGATAGCATGCATGCCAGCAATGATGACTGCGGCCTTAAAATCAAAGTCCACTGTTGCTATTCAAGCAACCCCTCCCTTTCCCGTGTGTTTTTTCATGCTCGTTCAAGCAAGGTGGTTTTATTTCTGTTTCATACCTGCCAAGTTCAAGAATTCTGAGTCCGGGACATTAACAGGTGAGGAGGTGGTCACGTTGATTTATCCCGCCTTTTTTTTTTTCACAAAAAACAACAAAAAACATCAAAGAAAGGGGAGGTCACGTTTATTTATCCTTCCCTCTTTTTGGCACCAAAATAAAATAAAAAAAGACGTGATAAAATGGGGGGTGTCTGTAAACATCAGTGTTGAAGTGGCCGAACACACCAGGGTAGTTTCCCCAACTACAGCTACAGTAGAAGGTGCGAATCTCAATAGTGGGCAAAAATACTCGTAATGTCCCGAAGTTTTGCGTCATCAACTCAACTAGCAAAACCTATTTCTATCAAAACAATTCGCATATGTCTTCCTGGGACACACGTGAATGAATGGGACGGCGCAGCCAGCTGCCATTACAGTGCGGGTCGAAGGTTTGCTTGAGAACAACTGAGAACTGAATGCCAAAGTATAGTTAATTGAAGTACGCAGATCGACAGGAACAACGTAATGTATGTTACTAGATTCTTTGGACAAGAATGCCAAAACGGTTTTAGTCTCTTTTTAAGTCTTTATCGCCTGTGCCCTCTGCTAGTAGATGATCGCATCACCGCGGCCGCAGTTTTCCGCATGGTGTTTGCGGAAAACGGTAGCTCTGTTTTATATTCATGTGCACTGGCTGCACGCGTGCCTTCAAAAACAAGTTGTTTTTTTGCTAGCTATCATTACCACTGCTGCAGTTTTGCTTGCAGCGTTTGTGGAAAGCAGCACTGCTTTGACTGGTCGAGCATTGGATGCACGTGCACTTTTGGAGTTTTGTCAGTTACGTCGCCGCCATACATGATCATGTCTAGAGCTGCGCTGCGCTGAAGTGTACTGGAATATTCTAGTACCACGTGCTAGTTTGGTCCACAGCGGTTGTGGCAAACGATAACCACAGTTCTGACAGTGCCCGCATTCTTTTGAAGCTTCGAGCACACTGATCTCGACCTTCTTTCCGCGGTTTCAGTACTATTGTTCATATGACCAGCTGCGATGACGAAAAGTGTTCAGAACATCTAAATTTTTGCTCAACGGACCTTGTGGTATTTGACTGGGGAATTTCAAAAAATTGTATCTGCTCGTTTCACATCATTGAAATTCTACTGTACCTTTAGATTAACACCTACTGAATTTGTTAACAATAAAATGCAATGGGCTCACAGAAAGCCTTAATTTGATTGGGCGGCATTAATCCAGCCAGATCAAACACCTAAATTTAGATTTCAGGGAGATTTTCCTGACAACCGTACAAATGTAAAAGTTCTTACATTTGTATGGCTGTACCTTTGTACGGTTACGAAACAAATAGTGATTTTGGTCAAGTAATCTTGAATGCAATTCGAATAGTATATATAACATATAAAGAAAATTTCACATATTTAACATGACTTAAGTAACCAGTAAAATATTTTTTTTTAATGTGAGCTAAGGCCTCTATGCAAAACCTTTCTTTATTTCATTCAAAGGAAGTCGAAACAATGTTGAGTTGTAGCAGGATTTGACTTTTGGTAGGATGCAAATTACCTGTAAAATGTGTAACTTTTTAAATTTGTTATATTTAAAGCATATAAGCCAGCATAACAAGCTTCTGAACATAAAAAATGAGGAATCGGTTTGATGGTATTATGCTCATTTAATGAGGCCCTGCAGCAGTTTTTCAAGTAGCCATAGAATAGATTCACCGATTGCCTCATGAATACACTGCCACAAAAGTTCGAATGCATCTAGTACGAGCAGAGTTGCAAAGATTTGTCATACACTACAATTGCATTCTCACTTCTCGTCCCGTCAAAAGTGCTAGAATTTAAGCAGGGAGGAGTGACCTGGGGAAAGAAAATATTTTAGGTGCACCTCGTCACCTTGAGCACTTTTTTTCCCTTCAAATACGTGGCTTGTCAATGTAATCGCGCATGTTTGCGTGGACAAGTCGCGGCCTCCCACAGTGACCCCAGTAACAACCAAGCTGCCATGCTCAAATCAGCCAATGGCAGGTAAAGTGGCTGTGACTAGTGATTTTTGAGCTTTGATGTCATTTGCCAAGAGAAGAGAGCAATCTTCAGCTGACTTTGAGAATTTATGCTGAATTGCATGCTATGTGCTGCGCTATATTATCCTGATCGGGTGTTCTCAGTAGCCTCAACTACCGATCGGCAGCATTTTCTGACAATGCTCGAAAAGTGTTGCAGGGCCCTTTTAAGGGGGGCTTCGCGGCAGAGTGCAATTCCTCTGCACCCCTACACTGCAGTGAAACCACCTTTACAAGAAGTTACATGTGGATAATTATACGCCTAATTGTTCATCGCGAATACTTCGAAATTTTCAATAATTTAAATTTGGATTGAAGCAAATTCGAATACTCTAATATTCATTCGAATATTCAAATAAATGCTTTGGGTGAGCTCTGCCTTCGGTTCTCCTATTGTTTAATTTGTGCGTTTATTTTTCAAATTTCATGCCAAACCTGCACATAATTGAATCTTCTTTGTAACTATTTTTTGGGGAGTTGGTTAATTTTGTTATATACAGCTTTAACTGTAGTGATCTTGGCCTGTCAAACCCGAAATATTATAATTAGGGTCACACGGTTTTCAGATGGTCATTTTCATTGAGTACCACTAGTACCACTAGGTATGACAAGCAGATGGAAGGCTACTTCCTGTATGTGCAGTCATCAGATGCATTTGCAGAGCCAGAGGAAAAAAATACTGAGATGTCAATGCCTTATTACAGTGAAACCTCATTAATATGCAACTGCCAGAAATGCAGCATAACCACCCACTAAACAGCAGTACACACTAACTAGCATGTACAAATTTGCATCTCCTGATGTACTCCATCACCGTCAAGAAAGAAACAGAATGCCAAGGTGGATATTGTTAAAGCGCTCACCACTAAGACATTTCTTGCTTTCTGCCTAGGTGCCGAAAAGATTCTGGCACTTTCACGCGACCATTTGATAGCGCGCATTGGCAATGCTAAGGAGCATTTTGAAACTATTACACTGTCTGGCATATGTAGCAACTGACATAGTGACAGAATGGACCGCATTGGCTTTCCTCTATACATGTGTGTGCGCTTGTACTGCGATCTGCTACTATGCGAAAAGTGACAAAGTTTTATCGGAATGCGCTATGCAGTATGACCGCATAGAGCCACTCATTTCCAAGCCAGTTACGTGCAGCATGTTGCCGACTCAGCTCACGCTGTCACTTTCAAGCCGCTTGCTGTACCTACGTTACATGTTCATTTGTGGTGGGAGTGTTCTTGGTACCCACACCGCTCCAGACCATGCAACAAATGTGGTGAGTAGCTTGCTGTGTTAATGCAATGATGATGAGCCTCTTCCAAACGATGCTCCGCAATGTTCTACTGGTCTTAGCAGCAGGCAGAGGCTCGTGTGGGTTGCTGCTAAATAAAAGTATGTCCTATGGTTACAAGAGCACTACACTTGCTGTGCCGCTTATGTGTATTTAGCATGATAACTTCAGTGCATCAAAGTTTCTGACAGCCAAGACTCACAACACTCAACTCTGCAACAGCGAGCTATATTGTTTCCACAAAGCGGTGAGCCCTTGATCAAGGTCCAGCACAACGAGGTGGCATTGATTGCCAGTCCAACACGTTAGGGTAGTCACTTTTACAGCGGAAGCTGTTATGAGATCGAAACACAGATCACGCGCAGCGCCCTAGTTTTCAGCCGCCGCCGCCGGTGTCTGTAGCCACTATCGCAGAAATAAGAAAAAAACCTAGTACCAAGGACACAGTGGGGCTCGAACCCTGGTCCGCTGCGTGCCAGCCCAGAAGTATTCTACCACTGAGCCACGCCAATGCTTGGGACTTCTTCGCAAACTTGCCTAAGGCAGGCTTGATATCGAGAAAAAAATCGCGCTAATATGAGTAATGAAGCGTTTTAGAACAGCAAAAGAACAACCAGATGTCACACAATGCAAATAGCATAACGAATGTGTCATCCAATGCTCCAACCCACTACAAAAGCTTGTTCTTGATCACCTATTAACGGTGGTGCATACCCACTTCAAGCATAACTTCTCATCGTCGTCAGCCAGTGCATGAACAATTGGCACAAAATTACTTGCAAGTGTTTAGCGGATACCACGCTTCTGAGAAGAATGATGAAGGATAGCATAGCCAATGCCAGCCTACTACCCAGAAATTAATATTATTAATGCCTTAGTGGGTACCCAGCAAGTGTGCTTGCAGCAGTTACCCAATGAGTGTTTAGAAGAGGCTCTGAAAGGCCACTCTTCTATCTTTCGCTGTGACTGCACTGCGCCTTCCGCGCAGACCTGGCATGTGTGTGTGTGTGTATGTTTTTTAAGGGTCCAGAAAGCTTGAAGTAGCACCACGCCACGTGTGCCTGGGCCGATAGCTGTAGATACCTATTGCGATCAGAATGTTGAGGATGAGGCACAATGGCATGTTCTAAGGAGGCTGGCGCCTCACATTTGTTCACTCCTGATGCTTACCAGCAAAGGCATCGCTGCAATTGCACAAAAGTCAGATCATTTACCTACCGAACTGCCCTCTTCTCAAAAAGATGGAAAACCTTTTCCGAAACTTTTCAGCATCGGCAAGTTCAGCGGCATAGCAATCTTTTATGGCACACGAGTTTACCACAATGTACAGCTGGTACGCACTAAATGATAGACATAGGACGAAGTACTGCAGCTTAAGATGCCAGCAAGTGCACTAGGCTCTATAAGACTCGGCCAGGGATTTATGTTAGCTACGCTTTAACGGTTGGTACGTTTAAAGTGAGTACGTATTGACAACGTTTCACTGTATCACCAAGAGGAGGCATCCTCCTACTAAACGTGTTGCACATAGGTTTCTTTCTTTAAAATGCAGGAGTTGCTTGGTACTGCCTCTTTTAAACGAAAGTGCAACGTACCGGTGGCCCTGGCAGGCTCTTGCAGTGAACATTGCTGCTGGAGTCGCTGTTGTGGCTGAGAAGGTTGCTGCTGCGCATGTTGCAGGTGCACTTCCTGGTACTGCTGCTGCTGCTGCTGATGTTGCTGGATAGGCTGGTGAATTTGTTGTTGCTGAAGCTGATCCACTTGTTGATGTTGCTGCTGTTGGTGCTGTTGCTGATGGTGCTGCTCGATCACCTCTTGCTGATTAGAATGAGACTGATGACTCCGGTGCTCCAACTGAAGTGGCTCTTGCTGCTGTTGATGGAGCAGAGGCAGACACCAGCGCTGTGCATAGGCCGATGAATACCACACACGCAGCTCTGTGCGCGTCGCCAGAGCCCGCGTCGTGTTGAAGTACAGGCTTTGGCCCTGCTGGACGACAATTATGTTCTGCTCCAGAGGAGTCTGTGCCGGACGCACAAAGCGCATCCAGTTGCTCTGCGTCTCATCTGATGTGTCCAGGCAGAATACAGTACCACTCTCATCTTTTTTAATCTGTAAAGAACAAAGTAGAAGGAGAAGATAGAAAAGTTGAAACCGTGAGCTGAGCCAGCAGGTAGAGGATTGAAGACAAAACACCACGGTCAGACAAGGATACGATGACAAGACACATGCTCAGTCTAGATGCTTTACTTTTATAAAATCGTGGTCACCGGAATCACTGCTTTTTAATGAGGTTGCAATAAACACAAAAACAGCTGTGAGTTACATAAAAAGTAATTATGTAACTAGTGATAAAAAAGTCACAACCTGCAGACCACAAGGCAGGATAAATTCTGTAATTGCTCCATAGTCACAAATTTTTTTAATCATTTCATCAAGAAGTTGATCTATCAGCATTGCTGAAGATATGAATTTTGACCATGCTAAATTCGAACCTTTCCTCTCTTTTTGTTTCTTTTTCTTTTTTCCTACATCGTGCCCTTCAGGAAGCAGCTGTCGTGGCCAGAAAACAAACCCACAATTACAGCAGGGAAGCTACACAGAATTAACAACAGGACACAGATGCATCACATGTTTCAAATACTCAGAATGAAACTTTCCCAAAAAAGAAAAAAAATGCTCTTGATTCATTTTAACAGCGGATCCGTTAAAGATTTTCATTGCACCTGGTACTACGGACAGAAACTAACCAGCATGCGCTCACGTTGTCCTCATTATCGCCTGCTTTACTCCCCCATCATGTGTGCCAGCTTGTCCATCTGAGGAATGCATTGACTAGGTAGGACGAGTATGTTACGCGACTAAAAATCACGTAACATGTACGCAGAAGGCAGCATTGTTGGGCATGTTCCGCGGCCGGCACTGCACAATGCTGGCCACATCGATCGTATGTTAGCCACCTGCCCCTTTATGCCATACTGGTCGCTGCTGTGAGTCAAATGTATAACACTCGTAAATGGCAGATGTGAAGCTATCAGGCGTTCTTCAACGGCGTTGAGAACAGGCAGGTGAGGGGGCTTGGGAGCATATCGGTACCCGTGCATAACACTCATCGTAGGAACTTGTCCTGTGTTGCTGTGCTTACAAAGCAACGAGAACGAAGTGGAGGTAGTCACGAGAGGGCGAGCATGCGGGCCATCGAAAAACGAGGTTTTGGGTGGCGGTGTGCTATCTAGGAAGCACTGGAGAGGCGACTGGAGCAACAACCTTGAGCGGCGACTGGAAAACAGTACACTGGCAACATTGGTGTACATGTCGGCAGTTGCCGCCAAACAAGCCGCGAGCTATTGCTCGCGGCTTGTCAGAAGCAAGCTTCAATAAATCAGGCAACTAGCCAAAAAAGAAGCAGCAGCTCACATAAAGTGGAAATGAATGAGGTCTGTCTGTACTCCTTTGCAGAACACCCTCCATTGGTCCAAACTGTGTCCTTTTGGGAATGTTCTTCTTTGCAAAGACACCATAAACTGCATGAAAGAGAGACCAAGCAATCACTAATATAAGGCTATTGTGCTTAAAACATGATTGACACATGCATGATGATACTAGGCATGAACACAAGATGAGGAGACAAGAGATACAAAGACGCAGCCCTTTGTATATGCTGCACCTTGTCTTGTCATCATATTTAGTACCATTACTTGAAAGGTATAACTATGGTTGCACACAAAGAAAACAAGGATAGGAGAGACACAAACAAGCCTCCTTCGTGTCCGTGTCTCTCCTGCATAGGTTGGCAAACTCACTTCAGAGTTTACTTACTTGCACATACTCAGATCAAGCTGTGAGTATGATTAAGTTTGGGTGAGTAATAGTTTGATGAGTTAAGAGTCCGAGTGAGTCCGGCTCAGGAAAATTTCGGTGAGCTTGAGCCGGAGTGAGTCTGGCTCAGGAAAATTTCGGTGAGTCTGTGTCTGAGTGAGTCCTAAGCGCAAACTGTATTTCATGAGTGAGTCTGAGTTCCACAATTTTTGCCGACCTATGCTATCTTGTCCTTCTTTTCTTTGTGCACAACCACAGTATACGTTTTAAGCATGAACCAAATCGCCAGCAGCAAGTTTCTATGGTACCACTACGAATGATCAGCACCAACTAGCCCTAATCAGAGCTGTATTTGGCAGAAACACTTCAAATGCATCTCAGTAATCATTAAAACAATGCACAAGAATCTCAAAGGGCAAGTGTGTTACACAAAGTTCCCCGGTACGTCAGTGACTTCCGGCAATGCTTAACCACTGTGCAGAAGAAAAGAGATGATTGTTTTTCTGCGACTTTGCTATAGTATACAGTAAAACCTCAATTAATTCCAAATCGGTCATTTTTAAATCCCACCTAATTCGAAGGATTTCAGCGGTATTGTATTTTTCAATGTAAGTTTGAGTGGATAATTTGAAGCAGCGGCCGGCAGCAGTGCGGTTAATTCAAAAACCTCGAGTGCCATGTTCCAGATCCTGATCCTGATTTCGCCTCAAATCCACGAAAACGACGACCCTCAATAGTCACAAGGCAATGCAACATAGCAATACTAATGCGTGTGCGTGGCAGCTGAAGCACTCCAGCCTCACTACTTCCAGAGCAAAAAAAAAGCGGGCTCGTGGTCAATTGAAACGTGCGCTTGCGGAAAACAAGACCTGCTTCACTGCAATAGCAGTGACGCGAGGGCAGCATATCGAATGTTTCTCGCAACATCAGCGGGTCATGGCTTACCCATACTTTCTGGGATTTTAAGGAAATTAACAAAGGACAGGTTGGCGGAATTGGCGATGTATGTGATGATTGGCAATTGCTCCAGCAATTCATGCCTTTGCACTGCTGGTGGAGTTCTTGCCAGCAACACCTACTTTGAAAACTAAGTTCGAAAGTTTCGAAGTTATTTTTTTTCTGCCATAACACACTGCGAGTTTCGTGGTACTGGCCATTATTAACTTCCTACTTATACGAGAAACAATGTGCGAGTAATCGCATTATGACGTGCTGACGCAGCAAGGAGCAGACGACATGCTGTCCGTGTGTCACTACTATGTCGCAGTAAAGATGTCTTGTTTTCCGCAGGCACAGATTTCAGTTGATAACGACAGCTTTTCTTTGTTGCTTTTTTTACGGTGGCAGCAGTGAGGCCAACCGCTCACACAATGTTTGCGGCAAAATTAAGTTGACCAGGTTGTTCTGGAAAATATAACCCTTGTAGCCACAAGCTAGCCGACACATCAAACGACATGCCCCGATTACAATAAATAGTTCCAAGTTACTTGCATCCCACCTTTTGTATGTTCTGTTAATTCGAAAACCCGCTTGATTTGAAGATTTCTTGCGACCCCAGTGACTTGTAATTGACTGCGATAATTGACAGTGACTTGTAATTGCGACCCCAGTGACTTGTAATAAGGTTTTACTGTAATCAAAACAAAACAAGAAAAAAACCTACGCAAATGATGAATAAACAATTGAGGAGAGTTAGAAAATTGACTCATGCAAACATAAATTAAGGGCGCTAACAAATACTGCCTACAAGGAGAAAAAAAAAGTAAAGTGCAGTCATTGTTGTAAACTACATAAGTTTGCAATTGACTAATGAATACGATGTAGCATGTACAATCACGGTGAAAATTGTTAAAAATAGATCATAACAAAGAAATTACACACTAAAAACACTAAAAATTACACTAAAAAACATATTGTCGAGGTACAACGCGAACAAAGCACAGGTAGGCCTTGAGACAGCGAAAGCATCGTGATCTGAACAGCTGAGCCGCAAGATTGTCCTCTTCGTTTTCGAGTAAAGCCAGAGGCCCACTACCTAGTGTCCCCTGAATCCCCCTATTGTCATTTTCGTTTACATGTAGGCACGAATCATTTGCCTCCCTCTCAAAGAGCATCAACCCGATGCGAAGTCAATAATGCAATTTTCTTTTAAGGAAAGTCTCGTGCAATCACTCGCTGACGTAAGGCTTCATGCGCACTACATGAACGAGTTCAGGATAGTGCTGGTGACGCTTCGTACTACACGAACTGTCGGGAACAACTTTGTAAGTGACGTCTCTCAGTTGTTGCAGCACTCGGTATGGCCTAAAGTATCTTCTTGAGAGCTTTTGGGAAAGTCCTCGTTTCCATACGGGTGTCCAAACCCAGACTTTGTCGCCAGTTTGATAGATGACTGTTCTGCGGTGAGCATTGTAGTGGTCTGCATCGTACTCTTGCTGCTGGCGGATCCGTAAACGTGCAAGTTGCCTAGCTTCTTGCACGCATTCCGTAAACGTGTCGACGTCTGGGTCGATGTCGTCACCTTCGTGCGGTAGCATCGCATCTAACATAGTTGGTACTTTTCCCCCATGAACAAGGCTGAATGGGGTCATGCGGGTCATTTCTTGTTTGGCCGTGTTGTACGCAAACATTATGTATGGCAAGATTGCATGCCAATTTTTGTGTTCAACGTCTACGTACATCGAAAGCATGTCTTCAATGGTTTTGTTTAGACGCTCTGTCAGCCTGTTCGTTTGTGGGTGGTAGGCGGTGGTCTTACGATGCGTTGGTCCACTCAGCATCAGGACGTGACCAAAAGAGCTGCCGTAAATGCGGTTCCTCTGTCTGTGATCACGACAGTTGGTGCACCATGTCTCAGTACAATATTCTCAATAAAAAATCTTGCCACCTCCACTGCTGTACCTCTCTGGAAAGCCTTTGTCTCGGCATAACGAGTCAGATAATCCGTCGCGACGATAACTCAGCGGTTTCTTGCAGTAAAAGTAGGTAGTGGGCACAAAATGTCCATGCCGATCTGGTAGAATGGAGCTGTTGGGACCTGCACGGGTTGCAGGAGGCCAGCTGGTTTATTTGGTGGTGACCTGCAGCGCTGGCAGTCGAGACAGGTACGAACGTGGTGCTTCACGGCTGTGGTTAGTCTTGGCCAGTAATACCTTTGCTGTACTCTGGCCAACGTCCTCGTGTAACCCAAATGGCCAGAGGTCACCTCGTTGTGGCATGCTTTGAGTACTTCGGTGCGAAGGGCTGCTGGGATGACGAGCAGATAGGCGGATCCCGTCGACGAAAAGTTTCTTTTGTAGAGTATTCCGTCTCGTAAACAAAACGATGACAGCACTCTTGCGAAAACTCTCGGTGCCTTCTAAGATCTGCCATCCAAGTAGTTAATTAAGCCAAGCAATTCAGCGTCGTTTCGTTGTTGCTGCGCAATGGTGGTCGTATCGAGGACACCGAGAAATGCCGTTTCCTCATCCTCGGGTAAGGTTGCCGACTCAATGGGTGAACGGGACAGACAGTCAGCATCCATATGTCACTTGCCTGACTTATGTATGACTGCCATATCGAACTTTTGCAGCCTGAGACTCCAATGCGCTAATCGCCCTGTAGGGTCTTTAAGACTTGTTAATTAACACAGTGAGTGGTGGTTGCTAATTACTTTAAAGGAGCGGCCATATAAATACAGGCGAAATTTTGTAACTGCCCATACCACGGCGAGACATTTCTTCTCGGTCGTGGAGTAATTAGCCTCAGCACGTGTTAACGTTCTGCTTGCGTAAGCGACTACCCTTTCTGCGCCCTCTTGCTGCTGCACAAGCACAGCTCCCAGATTGACATTGCTAGCATCGGTATGAAGCATCGTAGGGGCTCTCTCGTCAAAGTGGGCAAGGACTGGAGGTGTTTGTAGTCACTGACGAAGATTGTTAAGAGCAGCTTCCTTTTCGTTCTTCCACTCAAAAGTGACGTCTTCTTTCGTGAGGCGAGTTAACGGTGATGCTATGCGTGCGAAGTCCGCGATAAATCGTCAATAATATGCAGAGAGGCCAAGAAAGCGTCGGACAGCCTTTTTATCGGTTGGTACAAGGAACTGTGCAATGGCTGCAATTTTCTCAGGATCGGGATGAACACCTGCATGACTGACGACGTGACCACCAAGAAATTGCAGCTCTTCGTAGCAAAAGTGGCACTTCTCAGGCTTCAACGTCAAGCCCGCGGACCGTATGGCTCGTAAGACCACTTTAAGCCTTTATAGGTGCTCGTAAAACGTTGCAGAGAACACTATGACATCGTCCAGATATACTTAGCAGGTTTTCCACTTCAAACCGGAAAGCACCGTATCCATGAGTCTTTAAAAGGTAGCAGGCGCTGAGCACAAACCGAATGGCAAGACCTTAAATTCATATAACCCATCTGGTGTCACAAAAGCGGTCTTCTCGCGGTCTCTCGGGTCCACCTCGATTTGCCAATATCCACTGCGCAAGTCCATTGAAGAGAAGTATCGAGCATGTCGAAGTCTGTCGAGAAAGTCATCTATACGAGGTAGTAGATATACGTCTTTCTTGGTCACCTGATTTAGCTTCCGGTAATCCACACAGAAGCGCAGGCTTCCGTCCTTTTTCTTAACGAGGACCACAGGCGACACCCAGGGGCTCTGTGAAGGCTGAATGACGTCATCTTCAAGCATTCTGTCTACCTGCTGTTGTATCGCTTCGCGTTCTTTTGGAGCCACGCGATAAGGGTTCTGATGAATAGGTCTCGCCGTTTCCTCGGTAATTATCCGATGCTTGGTTAGAGGCGTGCGGCCAACTCTTGATGTTGTCGAAAAGCAATCTTGGTACTCGGCCAATAGCTCAAGGAGCCTGCGTAGCTCGTCTTCCGGCAAAGTAATGCTAAGCTCTAGAACAGGCGCTGAATCGAGTTTTAACGCCTCGTCGACTACCGCCAAGCAGCCTTCGGCATCTATGACATCATCGAAGTAAGCTACAGCCGTGCCTTTTGGAAGGTGCAGGCACTAAGCGCTAAAATTGGTCAGCAGTAGGTCCGTGCATCCAGCAGCAACTCTTACGATACTTTGTGCGACAGAGATACCGTGGGTGAAGAGAAGTGAGCTTATTTGGTCTGCAACTCCTTCGACGTCAAACTGGACAGTGGCGGCCACAGAAACAAGCGTGCATGACCTAGGAGGGAGGACCACGTCGTCATCAGTAAGACGCAGTTGGTTTGCTCGCGCCTCTGGAAAATCGGATAAGCCCATACTGTTGCAGAAAGAAATCAAACTCTTTGGGATGTCAATGACGGCGCCATATTCTTGTAAAAAATCCATGCCAAGGATTACATCTCTGCAGCATGCGGCGATAACGACGAAAGACGCAGTGAAAGGAGAACCCCTGATGTCAATTCTTGTTGTACGTATTCCAGAGGGCATTAATAACTGGCCCCCTGCCGTTCTTATATAAGGGCCCATCCACGGAGTCTTCACTTTTCTGAGGCTGTCGGCGAGGTCCAGACTGATAATAGAGAAGTCGGAACCAGTGTCGACTAAAGCTGTCACTTGCTGGCCGTCAAGAAGAATACTTAGGTCGGCAGTCACAATTTCATCTCTTTCACGGCTTACCGGCTGTACGACGTCATGCAGGGGGGCTTTTTTTCGTCACCTTCATGGCCTGCAACCTTGCCCCCGGAGGTCGCCGCCCTCAGTTTCCTCGGTGCGGGCTAGGTCACTTTCTTTTATTAAGGTCTGCATAGGTGCGGCGGTGCCACAAAGGAGAACGTGCGGGAGACGAAGAGCGGGATGGGCGTCTCAGACCAGGCGGGTTAGTAGGCATTGTTTCCTCTGCAGTGGTACGGCCGTTCTCAAAGTAAGAATGGGCCCGGTAGAAGGGTGTGTCGTCGCGGTGTGAAGTGTATTCGTCGTTGGGACGTCGACCGTCAAGCAAGGTCGAACAATACGGAATAAATCGCCTCGATGCCAGCAATGACGGGCAATATGGCCTGCACCTCCGCAGTGAAAGCAAAGTGGATGCCTGTCGACTGTGCGCCATGCATCTGTTCTTCGTGTCGGTGGACGTCTGAGCGTCTCCCCTGGCGTCGATGGCCATGGCGTGGCTGTGGATGGCCAGATGTATGGCTGTGGCATGGGTGGTTGCTGTAGTGTCTGCTCTTGCGGCGGTTACCAAAGGGCCATTGGTGCCTGGCAATACGGCATCGGCGCAGTGGGTGGTGGTCGTCGGAGAGCGGCAGCGTAGCTCGTGGGACGCTGCTCAGCATCAAGACCAGCCGTAAACAATGCTTGGCGGATTTCGTTGTGTACGACTTCAATGACCGAAACAACGAACATTTCAGCAACAGGAGTCCGGAACGTCTGCAGTTCTTCGCGAACTATCTCCCTAATCAAGTCTCGCAAAGAGCTCTGACTCTCAGACGTTATAGCAATAGTATTAATTTGGACATTGCTCGACATGCGGTCATATTGCCTGCAGCGTTGATGAAGGGCCCGCTCGATCGCTGTAGCTTCCTCAATAAAGTCAACCACGGTGCATGAAGGGTTGCGCAGTAGCCCGGTGAAAAGCTGTTTCTTGACACCGCGCATGAGGTAACTCAACTTAGTATCTTCTATCATGTGCGGGTTAGCTCGACGAAAGAGACGAGTCATGTCTTCGGCAAACATTGCAACGGTTTCATTAGGTTTTTGAACCCGTAGCTCCAATAACTGCTGTGCACGATCGCGTCGATTAACATTGGCGAAAGTAACGACGAACTGCTCTCGAAAGTTGGGCCAAATTGATAGATCGGCTTCTCTATTCTCATACCAAGTACGAGCACCATCGTCAAGGTAGAAATAGGCTCGAGAAAGCTTTTCGTGTTCCGGCCACTGATTTATCTTGGCAGCACGCTCGTAGTGGTCAAGTTAGTCGTCAGCGTCTTCATGGGCGCAGCCACAAAAGCGATCAGGAACGAGTGGCTGATAGATGGTCACCTTAGATAGGTGCATCGGAAAGCTGCCTTGGGGCACCTGTTGAGGGCTTGCGTTGGCCATTAGTCGAGGTGAGCGGTGCCTGGGAGGTTCCGGCGAGAGAGTGAGTTCTGGCGCAAGGCCTCGCAACCGTCGACTGAAACGATGCACAGGAGTTGCAATTGGTGACAATGCGTTTGGACTGGATGAACGGCTCCTAGCGGGAGTGTGGAGCATCAGGCAGGGTTGCGATCCAGCACCTCCACCAGTGTCGCGGTACAACTCGAACAAAGCACAGGTACACCTTGAGACAGCGAAAGCAGCGTGTTCTGAACAGCTGAGCTGCAAGATTGTCCTCTCCGTTTTCGAGTCAAGCCAGAGGCCCACTACCTAGTGTCCGCTAAATCCCCCCATCGTAGTTTTCGTTTACATGTAGACACAAGTCAATATGAGAGAACCTAAAAGTACAGGGGGCGGATATTTTGTCTGAATGTAATCAGCTTTAGAGGCAATGTGATATGGCAGGTTATTGCGTGTGAGTGTTGTTTGGGGAATGAAAGAATCAGCATAATGAGCTAAGAAAGCACCTGGATAAGTGCTCTCACAGCTTAGCACCTCTCAATTGCAGTAAAACCACCTTTACAGGGGTTATATGCAGACTAACATACATTTATTCATTCATTTCGAACACTTTAAAATTTTCAATTATTACAATTCGAATCCAAGTGAATTGAAATACTGTTATATTCGTTCGAATACTCAAAGCATTCTAATATTTGCACAAACCTAACGAATAACTTTGGTAAATCTATGAGGAAGTAAATAAAGCTATCACATATAGGAGTTGTCGGCTCACCCCTTCCACATTTTTATACTGCGAGGAAGAGCAGAGTTGTCGAATGCGTGTGTTCGACCTGACAGATTTTGAAAGCATGGGCTATTATTGAGATGGTTCAAAGACCGATTTGGTTTTGCATCTATGTAAAACAAAATAAATAAAGAAAGGGGTGCCCACTTGGTTCTCCGTCGGAATCCTCAGCCACTTTATGGACGTAGAGGTAGCTGGCAGGAAGACTCGCCCATGCCCTTGTCAGAACAGGCTTGTCGACAATCAGCTGCACCCTGTGGCGTGGGCACTCGCGTTCGTAAAACTGATTGCAGTCATCGCAATCTGAAAAAATATGGAAACAAGATGTCCATCATAAAGAAGAAACAGCATTATATAGGGCTTGCCTGCTCCTGCTGATTTTGAGCTCCTGCCGACTTGAAATTGCCACATGGAAACAACACTAACGAGTGTATCTATCAAACAAGCACTTAATTTAAACCTAGTATTACTTTTAAGATGCCTGTTGACAGGCACTTTGCAAGTGTGAAACCGCATGCACTAGTATGAAGCACTCATTTCATGTAAAGCATGCAATGAGCTCAATATGGCAAAACTACAATTTTAGAATACACCCACATGTAAGCATTATGTGGCTATAAAAGGCATCCAGATAACATAGATAAGAGATAGCTTCTGCAATTACACCTTTACTAAAGAGCCGCCTGGTTCAAATACTGCAATTCAGGTACATCAGAAATATAGCCCTTTCTGCACAACGTGGGCTACTTGCTAATGCATTCAATGTTGATCACACATGCTGAAGTTGGGTAGCCATACAGGGAACACCAAGAGAAAAGTTACTTCACTTGTACACATATATTATGCTTTCATCATGTCAAGAGGACTACTACTGCCACAAGAAGGTGCTTGGTAAAGCCAGAAAATCTGTAAAGAATAAGTACAGGTGGTGATGCTGCTAAAAACATCCATACAAACTCACAATCACATCGTGGGTCTGACAAATCCGCTAAAGCACATATGAGTCTTCATTGGCAAGGGTGAATAGGATTCCATTGTGAGAAGCACAGAGTCAGCATGGCAAAGTTCAGGAAATTTTATTGAGCTGATGTAACCAAAACATGAAAAAGTTTGTGATGTCCTACTGATGTTTAATGCATGAATTGCAGTACAAATTCAATAACGAAGCCTGCCCCTTGACCTTGTTTGCCAACAATGAGCCGAAGATAGGAAAATTAATGAAACTATTATTACAAAAAATATTTTATCATTCGAAACTGACATAGAGTTTCATTTTAGTGCCAGCTACACATGGCTCAAGTTGGTTTGAAGTTCAGTGCAACATTGACACGAAAAAAACTTATCATTATTGCCATCAGCAGCAGCACATACTCACAGTATCGAGACATGCAATCCACATCTGTATCAGCCCTGCTGCTCACAGATCCTCCCGAAGGACCGGGCGAGTGTGAGGGCCCTGGGCTGTCCAGGGCAACTGTGTTGACCGGAGATGGAGCCATCTCTACGGCGGGACTGTTGGTCGAGTCGGGGTGCAGGCTCACGGTGGATGCATTCTGCAGTTCTACCAGTTCCTCTTGGGAGACGCCAGCACTGCACACTGTCAACCAAGGCCAACATGAAGCAACAAACACTCGACAGGTGGACTGAAAAGTCGGTTCTGAGAGTGTCCACAGGGCAGAGAGTAGTTCACGAAGATATAGACCTATAATTGACCAGTACAAAGCCCGAGAAAGCTACGAAGAAAATCCGTGAAGGTCCATAAGAACAAAATATTATTAGTAGGCAAAAAATTAAACTTGTAGAGATATCACTTTCTTGCTTCAAAGTGAGGTTGCAGCAAATGGTAAAACAATCAAACCTATTTATGATGAACTTGAAAGTGCCGAGAAAAGTGCTCATTATATAGGTAGTTTATTGTATATGAACTCACCCTTTAGAACATTCGCTTAGCAACCAACCTGATCTTTTTTTCTTCTGCGCATCTGTATAAAAAGGTTCTAACAACCCTTCAGTGACAAGGCTTTTCCCATCATGAAGCGATGCCCGCTGTGTAATCACGAGGGAATCAAACTACCTTCGCAATGAATTGACACCGTTTCACAGAAGCGTGGCACCACGACGTGGGTCCAATCATCCCTGGCTAGTTGCGTGCACCACGTCGCCTACTCAGCTTGCACCATCACGGTCAGGCAGCGTGCTGCATACCGTATGCGTGTATTAGCGCATTCTTCATGCCTGCTTTACTATAAACTAAAAAGGTGAGGCGAGCAGCCTGTTCGTTCAACGTGACAAAGACAAGCATTTAGCAAGCAATGCACACCCTACATTTTCGCATGGTTCTGCGTGACGAGGCGAGGCACACTTCGATTGTCGTTTAGAAAAAAAAAAAAGAAAGACATGCAGATTACACTCGCTGCCAGTGTATCGACATTTCTCGAGATCCGCAACACTCAACACCAGTGAGCTGCTTTTGTTTCCACAAAGCAACGAGCAATGAAGCGATTTCGAATAATGTGGCAGCGGCGAGTTGCGAATGGTATCATGGCACGCTTATAACGCAGTTAATCAGCACACTTTGCACCACATGCACAGCCGTGCAGATAGCTGCAGATGATAATGATAAGGTAGTCGGTGATAAGTCATAACAGCACGTTCATCACCGGATGCCACCTCACCTTCGCTCTTTTCTGATGCTAGTGTGTGCATGTATCACCACAATTACTAGGAAGCCATAATCATTGATTGACCGGTCCCTACTGTTACCGAACGCACATTGTGGTGTCAACAGGTTAAGGGGTGCATTGATTGGTCTCTACCATTACCAAATTCACACTGTGGTGTCAATGAGTTTAGGGGTGCAGAGAACTTTTTCGTGCGACGAAAAGTTATCATGGTTATTGCTTCTTGCATTTATGACTTCTCATGCTCCAAGGCACTGTTTGGATTATCGTAAGTGGTCGTTGCAGAGATAGGTGTCAGAAACGGTTGCCGTGTGAACAATGATCACAAGTAACGCTTGATGCTGCCGCCTATTTTTTTCCTTTTTTTTTTCTTGCTGCCATTTTGCCACTGAACAAATGCCTGTAAAGTGGGTTTCCCTCTCACTTAAGAACACACGGTGGGGAAGCTTCAGAAGACTTACATTTATTCACAAATCAGAGGACATCAGTCATTAATTGAAGTAATCGAGGATGTTTGCGTTGCAGTAACGATTGCTTGCAACCAGTCAATCAATTTTGCACACAGTTTGCAAAGCATAGTAGTTCACAGCTAAGCACAGCGGCAACACTTTCTAAAGACGACGGCAACGACTGCGTCTCCCTTGCTACCCTCTCCACCGCAGCCGGAGTGTGGCCAGCACATGACGAGAAAGGAGGAGCGTCTGCACGCGGACAGACGCAGATCGGCATTAGAAAGAGAGCCAACACGCTGCAATAGGTTTCTTTTTTTTTCCCTCTCTCTTTTCACGGGCTGCATTGAAAGGAGAAGGGTTTCTACGTGGCAGGGACGGAAAAGAGAGAAGCGTGGCACAAGCGCGTCGCAGATGGGCATTTGAGAGAGAGCAAACATTCTGCCACAGCCTTTTCTTTCTTTTCCTTCTTTCTCTTCTTTGCGCACAGCGTTGAGAGGTGCCGCTGCATGATTGGGCATGGTGCTGAGAGCATTTTCGGAGCATGGTATGTTCGAACTAGCCGTCGCAAGTGCTTGCTCGTTCGAATTACAGGGCGTTTTCGCCCATTGGAATACACATAGCTTTGACGGGACCACAGCGCGAGTTCGAATTAACCGGAAGTTCGAATTAAGCATGTTAAAATTAATGACATTCGACTGTGTTTATTTTCCATGACACGCATGGTCACGTAGCAATACATCGAGTCTTGAGGCGGTTTCCTTCTTTGCATGCTTATAGGTGTGCGCCCATCTGAGCATACATCGCAACAAATTGTTACAATCGATATAACGAAAATATGGATATACCAAAATAATTGTGGCTCCCTTCAACTTTGTTATAACAAGGTATGAGTGTACATGTGGTTGCAGTTTCAACAGGCAGCCTAGAAAAATCGCAAGTGCACTGAAATATGGTTGTTATAGCCAACATAAAGTAATATTTTGGATCATTATAGTTGGTGGGTTTGACAGCATTGAATATTTTAATCGCGTTCAAATGGTAACAGGCTTTGAATGCTATTAGGGTGAAAGCTATAAGCAGTAAAGTACACTGCATTTAAACTGTGCCAAACTTCGTTCATATAGCTAGTATAACACATTTTACAAAAAGTTTACAAAAAGTTAATCAGGTTACAAGTAATAGACCTTATGCAAAATTGCTGCCATCTGTCACTTGTCGTGTGCATAGCCGCAATGTTAGAGACACACAATTGGCCGTGATAAAGCTCGTTGCGTGAAGGTCGATTCTGCGTGTAGCATACGAGTAGCCCTCACTTGGCAAACGGCTGCTAGCGGAAACGTTGCAAACACTACCTTGCTTCGGCAAGCAGCATTTTGTACCAACGCGAGTACAAACGCTATTGCACGTCTGATTTGCTTAGAAAGGCGTACACAAAGACGTGCTTCAGGAGCGGCAGCCCGAGCACACTCTGGAAAAGTCGTCAGCTTGAAAACATGACAAGGGGCAAAGCTTATGGTTCATTCAGAGTTCCTCTTTACATGCAGCAAGACACGTAGCAATACGTCGGCATTGTCATTATCGGCCAATACACGCCTTACGTCGATATGCCTTACATATATGTATACGTAATCACATGTGGACTATGCAAACTGCGCCGCACTGAGTTTCTAACATGGCAGCTATGCACACGATGGCTGACAAAGGGCAGCAATTTTGCATAAGGCCTATAAATAGCCCACTTAACCTTGGTGCATGGCTTTGTGGCAGTGAGGATTTTCCCTGAATGGGTGGTTTCATGACTTAGCAGCTCTAAGCTGCAGTAAAAGCTTCTTTCCAGGCAGCTTATGTGTGCTAAAATATGTCCACTTGCTCGATATAGAAGGTAACCCCCCCCCCCTCCCCCCTTTAGGCTGATGTGCAAACCAACACACCTTCCGCTCTGGCCATGCTATGTGATGAAGATGGGGAGCCCGCAAGATCGGGCAGTCTTCGACTGAGGATCCCCTGCATTCTTAGCACTGAGTGCTGGACGCCCCTCGAACTGGTGGAAGCTTCGACCGTTGTACTGAGGTCCAGCTGCTGCCCATAGTCATCACCTATATGGACATCGAAAATGAAAGGGTAGCGTAACATAACATTATTGATTTTAGCATGTTTTTTCATTAATTAGACCCTTATGTAATACTACAATCAAATAACATTACAATGAAGGCAACTACTGGATAACCTAGTGCTCCAGATCAGTTAGAGGCACTTCGCATTATATCTCCAGATTTACTCAGACAATTGAACCACATTAATTTTTACCTGGCCCTAAACACATGAAATATGCTCACTTAATGAATTTATAAATATGCTGAGATAAGCGAAATCATTCCTAGTCAAACAAAACAAATCCTGCGACACAGGTGACAACACAGCCTAACTGAAAAGATTACATTTCATTAAATGCTCAATTGTTTTAAACTCTATAGGCACTAAAAAACTGCCAAAAACAATAACAAAGCAATAAAAAATTTTTTTTAATGACGTAAAAACTCAAATCACCATGCCATGTCTAAAATAGCTCTGACGACCTAGTGGCACATTTAAAAGGCATCTCAGTTCTCTAACCTCGACAAAAAACGCCAGGCATGCATGTGCATAATTAAGGATCACGTTTTGATCTATGCTTATAGAATCTCTCCACTTTGAATATGCTTGACCACAATACACTGCTAATGCTATTTTAAATAATTCATTAACCTTGCACTGTAGCAAAGCCGACCCTTGGGAACTTTCCTGGTTCCCAGCAAATTGGTACTTACGAGAGTGTTAGTACGAGGCTGTGAGATGATTAGCATGGTAGAAGTGGTTGATCAATGCTTTTAGGCCCTAAAATTACGGAACAATGTTAAAAAAAGGGGGAGCATCCAAACAAATTGGCCACTGATTGCTTACAGTTATGATAACGAAGCACTACAATGAATCGAAACGTTACAATTAACTACTCTAAAGTCTACATCTTTTGTAGCACTTCACCGTCATGAACATGTAACAACACACTCAACCGGCAGTCATTTTGCCTGCGTGTATCTCCCAACCGTTTATCAACTTCAGAGGAAGCTAAAAAAGATATAATAAATAAGTAGTGGTACTCATTTTTTTTTAAACAAATTCAGAACAAAGCTACTCTCAGTTAAGGTTAACATTATATTTTGCGCTGTTACTATTATTGAAGGGGCACTTTTAAATGACATATTGAAAACTGGAACATGTCAGCCTGCCAGCATGGCACACATAAAGTACAACATTAGTTTTTGGAGCTTAATTTTCTCACCATGATTGTCATCTTGTAAATGCTGATGATGATGATGGTGCTGACTTGAAGTATCCACATAGGCTTCTGAAGTGTTGATGACGTGCTTTGAGACAAAAGTAAAGTAGTTTTCAACATTCATTTAACAAGAAACTTTTCTACATTAAAAGTACATACACTTTCAAGAACGCTCCAGGCCCCAGCGATGGTAGTAACCATGCCTGTTCAAATTTCTCTGTTGGATTAGATTTTTCATGCTGAAAGCTACATTTCCCCAGAGTATTAATTGATTGATTTGTGGGATTTAACGTCCCAAAACCACCATTTCATTATGAGAGACGCCGTAGTGGAGGGCTCCGGAAATTTTGACCACCTGGGGTTCTTTAACGTGCACCCAAATCTGAGTACACGGGCCTACAACATTTCCGCCTCCATTGGAAATGCAGCCGCCGCAGCCGGGAATCGAACCCGCGACCTGCGGGTCAGCAGCCGAGTACCTTAGCCACTAGACCACCGCGGTGGGGCTCCCCAGAGTATTAAACAGCCATTATTAAGGCGGCACACATTTCGTGACTTGCTTGCTTGAAGCTTCTTAGTATGTCACAAATTTGCAACACCTGGCAGCAAACGGTCAATGGGTGTGCAAACAAATTATTAGCCTTCACTATAACAATGAGATATCTATAACATGCCAAAGAAAAGCAGCTTTGCTGAGATATAGGTGTCTTGCAAGCGACAGTGCCTTAAAAGAGACTCAACAAAGGTGTAGAAAAAAGCACACTATACCATATTTATTTGAATTTAGGCCGATAGTATTTTTCAAATTTTTTTGCATCAAACTCCAGGGCTGGCTTAGATTTGAGGATTCTGAAAAATGCGCTATTTTTCATTGAGAAAAGTGGTGCACAACTAGTATCACCTGGACAGTCTTCTGGCCGTTAGCAGCCAAGCTATCACCTACAAACGCGAGGCTGCCAATTTGATCTTTGTGGTGAGTGTCGAGGCAAGCCGCTCATCATTTTGAGTCACGCTTCAAGTGGTCTGTGTGTGGCATAGCTCAATGGCACCAAACAGGCGGTATCATTATAGTGCCGCTTATAAAAGGAAAGTTGTTCTAGCTGCGGAGTCGTCATTCAATGTTGAAGCCGGACGGGACTTTGGAGAGGATAAAAAAAGGGGGGCCGCTGGAGGGGCCACAGCTTGGGACGACAACACGGAAACTTAATTGTGCGCTTGTTTAATTAAGAACTGCGGCATATCCAATGCGCTTGATGGCAGGCACGGAGGATCGCGCACTGTTTCAAGACAGCGGTAAAAAGTCAGCGACGAGGGAAGCAGCGACGATGACTCAGAATGAGCCCACCATCGGCAAGCGCAGCAACCTTATGGTGCAAATAACTAGAAACAGCACGAAAAAAACTACGGCTAAGAAACACACACAACAGGACCAGCGGCTGTATGTTTCTCGAGTTATTTGCATCGTGAACCAACTGCTTGGTTTCGTCTTCATGTTCAATAAATGTTTTCTCTTTGTGAACGCTGTCTTCACTGTTTCGTTCGGCCTAAACTCGAGGTAAGTTTCCCCCCCCCCACCCCCCCCCCATTTTTTTTTCGGGCTTCAGACCTTTGAAGGTCGGCTTAAAATTTGGGTCGGCCTAGATACGAGTAAATCCCGTATTTACTCACGTAATCTTCACACTCGCATAATTCTCGCACCCCCCACATCGCCCAACAAAAATACGATTTCTTTTTTTTTTTCTTGAGTAATTATCACACCCCCGAAAACTGCCGCAATAATGTTGTCTGCTCGTTCCACTTACTGATGATGATAGAGCGTGCCATCTGGCCCCATCTCTTAAGCATCAAGCGCACTATTACTGCACGGAGATTCAATCCAATCCAAGTCAAGCAAAAGTGGCAAGTGCACGTTGCGGTGTGTATTGTGTGTTGTGTCGATAGCCTTGTCACATTATGGGGCGATACTGAAGCTACGCAGCTGCTTTCAAGTTGAAAGTGATAGATCATGCATTAAACAACGGCAACAGGGCCACCGGTAGGTCTTTCGGAGTCTACGAGTTTTGTGTTCGCTACTGGTGACAGCAGCTGAAAGCCACCAAGACTCGTTTGGCCTGCCCTGTGCCTAAAACTGGGATTGGTGGTAAACTTTATTTCTTCAGAAGGAAACTGCAGACAATTCTGTTAAATAGCCATCAGCCCAATACTGACGTCCTACCCTTTGAGGGCTCCTGTTGAGCGACGCACGCTACCGCTACGCCCGCAACGCCCACAAGCTTTGCGTATGGTATTCCAATTCTCGACTATTTGCTTGCACTTTTTGTGTCTCAAATAAATCTTGCCTTGTGTTGAACCTGTGCTTTTATTGTTGAGGTAAGTTTTAATTAGTACTTCTCTAAGCTAGCTATTAGTTGCTGGTGGAGAATCGCGATTTTCGGCCACTTCGTTTTCTTTTTCGCTCTGTACATTTTGGTGGAAAGTTTTCCCCGCCTGATTCTCGCACCCCGCAACTTTGCATTGCTTTTTCGCCAAAAAAAGGTACGAGGATTATGCGAGTGACTATGGTACTTTATTTTTTCTATACTCTAAAACTCTTATGAGCATCTCACCTCTGAACTATCGGTGGAGTCCACAGTGGAATGAATGCCAGGCTCCACCCCTTCGGAGGTGGCCACGAGGTCAGCACTAGACGACACATAGTTCTGGATTGCGCTATTCTGGTGGCACACCTGGTGAGCTGCATGGTACTGCTGAACATCCTGCAAGGATTGGTGAGGCACACAGTCCTTATTGCATTATGAACACAAAGGTGCATTCACCCAGCCAAATTACCTGAAGGCAATAACATCAAATCGAGACATGTTGGACTTAAAGGGCATTGCAAAATAAATTATACTTAGAAATCGATGATTTTAAGCACAAACAATGCCGATCTGAAGCTTATCTAAAAACTCTGATAATCTAGAACAGTCTTTTGATACTGCAAAAAGAAGAGATTTTGATGGTTTGTTGTTCTAAGGCAGTGTAAAAGGAATGCCAGTTAACTTTTTTTTTTTTTTTTTCATTCGGTATACGAGGTTTAACATTTCCAAGTGACCCGGGCAGTGCATAAACTCAGGCAGGTTGGTTATCTATTTTGTTTGCTATTTTAGTGCACTGTTAAACAAGACAAAGCAGGAAAACAACATGAAGGTGTAGTGCTGTGTAGGTGTCGTTTTCCTGTCCTCTGTCTGGTTCAGTGCACTAAAATTATTGAAAATAAAAAAAGAAATAGCGATTTGGGCAGTGAGTCTGGTGGAGGGCTATGGACCATTGCAAGGGGCACCGCAACACTTTTTGAGCATGGTCAGAAAACGCTGCCGATCGGAAGTAGAGGCTCCCGACAACACGTGAGCCAAATATTACAGCACAGCACGCGGCCTGGAATTCACAATAAATTATCAAAATCAGCTAAAGATTGCTTTATCTCGACAAATCACGGAATATGGCCAAAAATCACATGTGAATTACTCATCTATCAGCCATTGGCTGATTTGAACATGGTACGCTGCTCATTACAGAGATTGCCCCGGGAGGCCGCTACTTGTCCACGCGTGCGCGCGCGATCACACTGAAAAAGCAACGTATTCATAGAAAAAAAAATGCTCAAGGTCACGAGGTGCGTGTGACATTTTTCTGTGGCCCTGCCATTTCTCCCCGCTTAGCTTCCAGCACTTTCGTCGGAACAAGAGAAGAGAAAATGCAACTGCAGCATGCGACAAACCTTTGTGACTCCCCTCGCAGCGGAAGGATTCTTGAAATTTTTGCGGCGTTGAATTTGTGAGGCAATAAGCTCTTCCAGTGAATTCATTTTGAGGTTACTTGAAAAGCCGTATCAGGGCCCCTTTCAACCACTTGGAGTACTTTATAGTGTGCCGACATCTCACAGTGCATGGACCTACATCAAAATGCGACCACCACCAAAGGGATCAAACCCATGTCTTACAGGTCTGCAGCTGAACGCTGTAACCACTGAGTCACTGCAACAACTTAATAATTTTTGAGGATGTCTTATGAAATCAAACATGGTGGTCATCTGTGTTAATGAAGCTACTTGACGGCTCTCTTCCCAAAAACAACAAGCCAAAGCTAGTATTCTTTACAGCTTCTGCTTCAGCAACTCAATTTGCAAATACTACAACATCATCTCGAACTCTTGTGCAGCGTTCTGCTTTCCTCACTCATCCACCAATCCTCCTTTCAGTGTGTGCTCTCTTGCATCTTTCGCCATGTTCATTCTCTTCGTCACAACAAGGTATGCCAATGCTCTACGCAGAAACGAGTGCCTGACAGCTGCTCTCTATAATGAGAAAGGTGTGGATCGATACATCGATGGCATGCACTCCGGAGATTTTTAATACATCAGATCATCAATTGGCTTTAGCAATCTTCACCGCGGAATAGCAACATAATGTGCTGAAGAAGATTCATAGCCGACAGCTACTACCTGTAACCATTCATTATCGTAAAGCAGACTGCCACAGCCACCTGCTCCAAGAAAGTGATACACCTCCTGGTGTAATAATGGCATTCATCATAAGCGAACGAATGAAGAGTTGCAGCGACATCTTTGACACAGACTTAACAGCGAGAAATCTGTAAATTCCCACTTTGATGGTCTCAAGAGACTGTCTGATAAGTGAAAAGTTTTGAGATGGGTATCACACAGGCATAATCTGAACTTTCAAGTACTGATATATCAAACTATCTTGTGATAACCTTGGAATTCAATATACCCATGTGCAACTATGTACCTACATCAAACTACTAGGCGAATAACGACATCTTCTTACAATATGTACCTACATCAAACTACTAGGCGAATAACGACATCTTCTTACAAAAGTGCACCATTATTCTTTTTGGTGACGAATGTGTGCACTGTAAACTGTCTCTCTAGTTGCCATAGTATACCGTAATTACTCGAATCTAACGCGCACCTTTTTTCCGGTTAAGCGAGTTCATAAATCGCATGCGCGTTAGAATCGAGTACGAAAAAAAAAATTACGGTCAATCTATTGCCATCGTCAAATCCAAAATGGCCGCCCCCTACGTGCGTCGACATGGCGCGTCGGTCATTTCTGCCTATGTGTTTCCCATGTGCGGCACTTCGTACGTGTGCTGAGGAGTTCGTCATCTAGTAGTGCATTAGCATCGACGGCGTGGAAGGGCCGACTCCAAAAACTCGAGTGCACCACGATGCCGCTTTTAAAAAAAAAGTCATCGCGTGTGCAGAAACGGACGGAAATCGGGCCGCATCGCGGTCGTTCGGAGTTCCCAAAACGTGCGTGCGGGACCGGCGGAAACCAAAGCGGAAGATTGTCGACAGCAAAGCTTCACGCAAAGGCTTCAGTGGACCACAGCAGGGTCGGTTTCTGCAAATTGAATAGCTGCTCGGCGAGTATGTGCTTGAGCAGCGAGCGGCACAGCGGCCCGTGACGACAGAACTGCTCCAAGTGCGGGTTATGCAGTTAGCTTTAAAAAAAGGTCTAATGCGGAGCCAGTTTAAAGTGAGCAGGTGCTAGCTAACTAACTTTATGAAGAGGAAAGGCTTTTCCCTCCGAAGGTGAACGGGCATATGCGAAAAGTTTTGCTGAGGAGTACGATGAAAAGCTTCACAGTTTTCCGAGGTTCGTCCTAAACTTGCGGCGCAACAACGGCTACCTGCTTGGGCAAATCGGGAATGCCGATCAGACGCCTCTTTACTTCGACATGCCTGGCACCACAACCGTCGAGAAGAAGGGGGCGAAGCAAATTCGCGTGCTGACATCGGTCCACGGTAAAACTACAGTGATGGCAATGCTCTGTTACACGTCAGATGGGCACAAGCTTCGCCCGTACCTCATATTTAAATGGAAGACACTCCCGAAAGGAGTCGTTTTTTCGAGTGGTGTGATCGTGCGGGCCAGCGAGAGAAAAAATGGGTGCGCGTTGCAATCGATGTCTTACTTTTTTTTTTTTTTCGCGGTGGAAATCGGGTGCGCGTTACAATCGAGGGCGCGGTAGAATCGAGTAAATAAGGTAAGCTGCTATGTATGAAATGAAGCATAGATTACCTTACACCAACAATCTCCTGGGAAATTTTTTTTTCTTAACTTTTGCTTGTTCCTGTGTAAAATCTGGTTTGCTAATAGAGACGAGTTTTGTCGTATGACGACATGTAATAGTGATTGCAAGCATTGGAATACATAGAATAGCAACACATCGAATAACAAGGTTTTCAAAAAGCAGTCTGCAACAAGGGCCCAGAAACATATGGCAATAAAATTGCATGAGAATTGAATGTGCGCAATTGACATTCTAATGCAAATGAAATGACAATTTGCACGTAACATTATGTCGGAGTAGCATTATGTTGCACATAGCATTATATTGGCACTAAGGACATGAAAAATTCCAAGCAGAAACGACTCAGTCTGCATTCATGTATATGCGAGGGCCTTATTGCACTGAAATTGAATTATGATAACGCTGCTGTCAAAGAAACAGTGAATAGTATACGTTAGCTGAAATAAGTGAACACTTACCACTGTTTAGCCAACTAGAGCAACACTAGCCATGCGAGCTGGCATCAGCATTTATTTAATCAACACGAAAATCAGTAATGGTAATATTTAAGCCAACACAAAAGGCCAGAATACCCTTTAGAAGTCACAGGGATAGAGAAGATAAGCTCTCACATATAAGGCCCAATTCACACAGCCGTCAAATGCTATGCCACGTCATCATTATAACACTAGCATCCGTTGTATTTTGTTTTACCCCAGCTTTTCCTTCAAAAAGAAGATGCTGAGAATTTTAAGGGGGAGGGGGGGTGGGGCATGGATATGAAAACTATCTTTGTTATTTATGAAGATGAAGTGATGAAATTTGTTATGCAGATATCATTTGTTGAGCTGATATCATAACTTAAATCAGTTTTGAGCAATCTAATGTAGCTTTTGAGTTACAACACTTCGTAGGCTCTCATTGTCATCCTAAAATTAATTAGTTGACATAGGTTTGTCAAAATTTTTGCATAAGGATATTCACAAGGGTCCACTCTGTGCCATAATGTCATTAGTTTATTTTTTAATATTTAGGTAAGCACACAAAAAATTTTTTAAGTGTCCTGGGCATATTGTCTTACAAACAACTTTTACAAAAAGTCGAATTTAAAAAAAAAATCTTTATTATGTACACACAAATATGGGCAGCTTTACAGCACTCACCAATATATAACAATCTAAGTGTAGAAAACGAAATGACGATATCTTCCTTTGTTGCAAAATGGCACAGGGATGAACGACAGCAACTGCTCAAAAAGTGAAAGCTGAGAAAATCGAGCTCAAGGAAATTAAAGCTAGAAACTAAGAAAACGGAACTCGTAAGGAAACTGGCTTTATTTTTTGTCAGAGAGATGCAGCTTTGTGGCTATCTTGAGCTCCGATCTGTCTGCTTTACGATGATGCCAATATGATGGCACTGTGCCGAGGAAACCGGCCTAATGGCACACATTTAATACACATACACATACAAAATATGTATGTGCCTTAAGGGTAAATCCATGATGCAATAATAATAATAATAATAATAATAATAATAATAATAATAATAATGAAGCTGCAGATTTGAATTTTCTAAAGGCCAATTTTCAGATAGCTTTTGACAACAGCCAACCAGTAAAGAGCTTTTTCTCAACTTCTACTACTTATTTTGGTCTAATATTTTGCCATGATGC